ATTATCTATATTTGTTATATGATAGTTTAAATATAAAATTGTTCTAATTAACAGTGGTAACTTAATGTTATTTTTCACAACAAATACTTTATAAGAGATTATTCAGAAACATTAAAAATTGTTAAAATTTTGTGAATACCAGTTTTTATCAGGTTAGGTTGGTAAAGCTATATATGCTATTTTAATTTTAAAAACTATTAAATATATAAAAATCAATACCATGTATTACAACTTATATATTTTGTATTTTTTCGAATCGGGTAATGTGATTGTCTCGTTTACCGCTACGTAGCATGTTTGTATATACCTACATTTTATTGCTGTAAACGGTCAGTAAAAGCCCATATTGTGGGTTTTGTGACCTCTATAACGTAACAAACAGCATCCGGCTGTTGTATGTTTAAAAAATATGCCTATTATAATAAAGTAGTATACACACTTACAAAGCAGTATAATTATAGAACACTTTACTTTGCTGAATTAATTTAAAACATATAAATATATTATAATTAAACTGTGGTGTGTGTGGTAAAATATAATATACATATAAAAAAATAACATGTAATACAAAAATTGTTTGTATTTATAAAATTTGGTTGTATAGAAAAATTTAAAATGTCAATGAATCCGTTTTAAAAAGTTATTGTTATCCTATTTTTTCGACCTAAGTGTTAACGTTGACTATGGCTCGTTGAACTTATCAGCTGTTGTTACGTGTAATAAATTTGTTTTACCTACATAGAGTACATTTTTTTACGTTAATAACCAAATATTTAGTTTAATAATAAATATTTGTTTTACTATTTAAAAAAAATATAATATGAGTATCTAGACTTCCTGATATTAAAAAACCATAAAAATGCGCAGTATATTTTTAAACACTATATCATGAGATATACCCTAATGAATAAACTCTACTAGCGAGTTTTCTTTATAAGGTCGGATGGTTCATAATAAACTGTATTAACAGAAAGATTGGAATTTTTCGGTAATCGCCATTACAGGTTCAATTTTAAAGTTGATTTTCGAAAACAATTTTTTTAGTAAATGCATTTTATTACTAAGCTTACGATGTGTCCAAGAATTTGAGGCTAAAATGTTTGACTGTTTATCGACCCGAGTTTATTATGGAAATTACTTACGTGTTTCCAAAAATATCCACCAATTTATCATCTAAACAAATGTGTTTAAGAAAACTGAAAATACATAACCAATTTTTAATATGATCGAAAGTAAACTACGCAATACGTCGTCTACGTGGTATGTCTATCTCATCTATTTCAGCCACCATGGATCTTGCTTTGTGAGCTGTTTTCCGGTTGAAGGGTGAGATAAGGCAGAGTAATCACAAATGACATCTTAAGTCATCCGCAATACCACATAACCTATTCATGTTTATAGACGATGGTCACAACTTACCATCAGGTGCTGCGCATTAAGCTTGTTTGACTTTTCAATTACATAAAAAAGTATTCTTTATTATCAACGAGTTAAGATTTTATGTTTTGTAATGGATAACGTAAAAATACATAACTAAATTTAAATATTTCTTCAGCATCGAGTAATATTGACCATGTTTTATAAAGATTAAAAGAGAGTCGTGGCGTATGGCTAGTGTTATATAGTGTGATATATGTATGAATAATAAATATTATAGTACAATGACAATAACGTTTTTTTCCATAATAATTCACATTTACAACTATTTATAGCATAGTATAAATAGTTGTAAATGTGAATATAACATTGAAAAGTACCGGATATGAAGAATTATTAGCTATATTTGTAACGTACGGGTAAAATGTCACATTGACGCAAGTACACTGAAAAATAAAAACAAAATTGTGATCACTTTCAAACTCTTAGTTTGGTCTAGTTTCCTAATATAGGTATATATAACAGTTAGAGAATGTAGGTGCCTATTTAATGCCTATCACATAATAATGACACCACAGAATATGCACTGGGTTTAAAATTAAAATATGTAATCGATGTGTAAGTATAAATAATGGTTATTATGATCTTTTTATTCAAACAACAAAGATATAATCTTTTTAACTGACTTTAGAAAGGCTCCGACGACCATATTTTTATGTAGATACATGTTTTCCAACTTTAAACTTGTTCATCCTTTTTTTAAGCCTTGATCATTCGCACAAGTCGCTGTCAGTATCCCATAGATTTTCGGGGCTAAAGACCGTGTAAGTGATCGTGGGTTACTGAAAGGGCGATTCAATGACTTACGTCAAGTAGATAGTATTAAAAAATATTACAGTGGTTTTTTTTAATAGTTTAGCCCTATTAAATACAGCTAATATATATGTTATATATATATAAGTAGTAAGTTGTTATATTTATCGATGGCTACTTCTTCCATGACTAACAATCCTCTGTCTTCTCAGGCTAAAATAGAAGCGTTACGTGAAGAATTAATTGTAATATTTTGTTATAGAGAGTAAGCAATCTATGACTCATAATTTGTGTATGTGGTATACGTAAGTGCTGCGCTATCGGCACATGTGTCATAAAGATGACAAATCACTATATCTAATATGTCTGGCAGTAATTCTTTACTGCCATACATATTAGGTATAGTGATATAGTCACAATGTAAAAAATAACCTAACAGTGAATAAAAACTAACCTAAATTTTATAGTCAATTACAAGAAATAGTTACAAAAACGGATATTATATATTTATATATCTATATTATTATATATTTCCAACATTAAATTCTACATTGTCACTTCACCAATTATACCTTTCTTTTTATACTTCCTGACATTAGTTTGTGTTTTTCCTTATAATATAATATATATTATTCTTATGATCATTCTTGATTTCATATATAGCTCACACTAGAGATAAGTTAGACATAACTATTAGCTGGGAAAACAATTAACTCATGGTTTTATGATATATTTTACACCGGAGCTATAATTATTTTAATACAACTTAATATCGTATTAAAAGTATTTTCAGAAAAGAAAAGTAAATGTAAATATATTCAGACTGTAAAATTGAACGGAATTTTCCATTAATTTTCTCATAAATCTAGAAGTTTCTAAAGTACCACTAGTTTTATGTAGTGCTTTGTATAAATGTGCAGTTGTATCAATATGATAATGAGTGTGATACTCAATGTTAAACAAACAGGGCAACATAATTTTGTCGTATTACATCTTGTGTTTGTTAACTGTACACGCATTCATATTTTGTAGAATAGACTTCTGGAAAACGTGAGATACGAATAGCATGCATAATCAAAATGGAATAATTATTTCTTTGAATTTCAGAACACGTGACAAAGTATAAACAGTATAAAAGAGTAAACAGAGCGACCATCGTATAATTATTACTATTTTTTTAATATTGAATTCTAGAATATTTGTATTTTAGTTCGTATGTTATTTTTTTCTTCATATTTTATGATGATTTTCAAATAAAGTTATCGTATTATTTTTATTTTTGGACTTTAATTATTGCAAATAAAGGTGTATCATTATTATAGTTGCATAAATTGAGTGTTAGTGAGATATGGGCTCATTACACTGATAATTGTCAAAGTTTATAAATGCAGTCGCATGTCGTAATATTCCAACTAATATTATAACATAAATTCTAAATAAAAAGGATACGGATAAAAAGCTCTTATGAAGATCTTAGTGATTTCATTTAATATGTGAATAAGTTGCCTTACGAAGACATACAGGCTATATTCTATGTAAAAAAGCAGAAGAAGCTACGGGTATTATCATTTTTGATAACTATCTAGAAACTTTCTTATTTTCTTAGCCAAATATGAGCAAGAAATCATAAGGATCTTTATCACTTGAGTTATTATGCCATGCCTCTTTGAAATTATAATTATTTACTTGCTCAAATTTTATTATTTACTATCTATCTCACTAGAAGAGACATTATTATATGGTACCTTGAAATAATTTATTAGAGTCTTATTAACATTATAACTACTAGAAAGATAGCTATTAAAGATACTTGCATGTGAATTAAAATCAGATAAAACATTGGACACTATTTATATTAATTCTTGCGGGCCAAAACGCGGTATAAAACTATACAACAACGACAACTAAAAAAAAAACAGAATATTGTTCCTTTTTACATGAAGAAATAAGAAGTTGGATATTATTGAACTTTCAATTGTAATTAATGGTATAATTTGCATTGTCATTTTTCTACGATCTATCCTTACATAATGAAACAGATATTTTTAAGCTAACAAGTTGAAGGACATTCCATTATCTACGAAGTGGCGAATGAAAATTACAACAATGATTTTCATATCTTACATTGGTTCCGACACGAATATTTGTTTTATTACATTCAAAACTCACATATGGGTTAAAGTGAGTCATTACTAATTGTGTTAAAGTATTATTGTTATAAAAAATGTATATCCATTGTTTAGTCAAGAACCTCTTTTTTTATGTTTATTAAGTAGCCAGTTAACCCAGTTTCTGTCTCAGTTCCACTTTCTGTTCGAGTCCAATTTTCTAGCTCACTCCCATTTCCTATATCAGTTCCACTTTCTGTCTCAGTCCCAGTCTCTGTCTCCATCTTAGTTTTTGTCTCATTCCTATTTTCTGTCATAGTTCCACTTTTTGTCTCAGTCTCAGAGCCTGTCTCAGCCCCCGTTTCTGTCTCAGTCCCTGTCCCTGTTTTAGCTCATGTTTTAGTTTAAAAAATGTTATTGTTCCTTAAAATACGTAATGTTGTGTAAAATGTTATTCTTTTGTGTAAAGTTTGACGTAGGTTCAAAAAAGACTGATGGGTTACTTGAAGAAGCATTAGATTGTCTTAACTAAAACATAAGTGTTACAAATGCATTGTTACATTTAGTATATTTTTTCACAGCATATTTTCAATAAGATTCTCCGAACCGCACAAGAACCATTCGTCTCAGTGTTTACACAGCTTGGTACAACATCAACAACAAGACACAAATAATACTTAAATGAAGATTTTATGTATGAAACTCCAGTGTATTTTAGACTGTTAAAGTTAAAACTATATTTCGACGAATAAGTATTTTAATTTAAAAGACATTTTTCGCCACAACATGGCGTCCAAAATTATACTATTCCTGTCGTTCGTCGCTCTCAGCAACGGTAAGTTATTTTATAGTGAATATAAGTCTGTATGCATCGATTTAAGTACATATGCATTTTCTTGTAGATTGTTGCATTAGAGTCTTAAATTAATAAAGAAAGTGCATTATATCCAAATTATTACCACCATTACCACCACCGCTCATATCTAATTAGCCATTTAAAACTTAGTGATTTTATAAATTTTGTAAACATCTAACAATATAATTCAGAAATATGTTGTTATATGTTTTGTATTAATTATGTAACTTATTAAATGCAGATTTATACCTTAATAATCTATATTAATTCATTTTAATTATTAATTTTCTAACAGTTATATATGACGCTTTTATAAATACGAGTATTTTGAACATAAAAGAAATAGATAAGAATATTCTTCAATATATCAGATATTCTATTCTAATAAGGTTTGTTAAATAATTTTCACAAACAAAAAAAAAATTATGATAATGATGTGATGCTCACGCTTACGCTAACGGTTTACGCTGATGGAGGCTGACATAATGAGCATGAGGTCAGTTCAGTCAGGTCAGTTAGCCCAGCGTGGCAAATTCTCCAAGAATTTATCACGATGGTTTCTGGGGGAACCGCGTGGAGGACACTTAACTGGATATTAGTCCACATATCTAGCAATGCCCTCCCCTCCATTATATATATATGTTATATTAAAATTGTCTAAAATGGTCACGTCCCATCACGTCAATGGTCAATATATAAACAATATGAGACACAAATAATCTGTCAATTTTCAGACAGGATAAGACACAATGTAGACATCTCTTATTTTGAAATTCGTAAAGTTCTGTGTCAAAATCGTTCATGTTTTTATATCTCTTCTTTGAATTTATACTTTAGATCATCATATAAGTATATGTTATATTTTTATTTGTTTTGTACCTGTAAATGTCGTATTATATCTTGTGAAAATAAAATTACAAGTCAAATAATTCACAAATCCTATATAGTGCTTAATTGCAGAGACTTACTATGAGTTAACCAATACAGACAAAGCAGAGATTTTTTTTCATTGTGTTTTCCACTTACCTCTGGTATAAATATATGTTTAAAGTAGGCAAGAAATAAACTTATTAGCATTTTGTTTCATAAAACATACAATTCGTGTATTATTTACAGACGCCGAGTGCTTTTAAGCTTTAGATATAGAACTATGATAGATAAATCAGCGTAAGAGATATACCAAAATAATTCAATATGCAGAGCTGGATGTTATCTGAATACAATCTTAAAATGATGCAATTTCTAAATAAAGTCTTTATATGTTGTTTCCAATATTTCATGAGCGCCACGTCATTAACATTTGTTCAAATACAGAACAATGCAATAATTTCATATAAATTAAAACGTATTCTTTAAAACGTCCAATATAATTAATTGCCTAGCTAGAGTAAAGAACATTATCAGAGTATAACTTTATTTTTATTGAAAAATAAAACAAAAAATGCCACGTAGGTGCTGAGAGGCGTCATGTGTCTTGATTTTTAAATATTTTCACCACAGTCACAATTAAAGTTTAATTTTTTATATTATATTTTATATTATTTAATTAACTGTTTATTTTTTAATACCTTATAAGTATTTCTTGATAGAGAATTATTTTTAATATTTGATTTTTTTTTCAGCTGGGTTTGTTTGGGTAGATGATGATGATGATGACACTTTCCCAAAGTGAGTACATTTTTTTTACTAAATCTGGCTACTACGATTCGTAATACGTAGTAGTGGTGTTAGGTACATGTTTATTTTTATAATTTATTTTTTTTATTTGCATTCAATTTAGTTATTGTATTCTTTTATATTATTGAAATCAAAGATAAAATGTACACATATATCTGAACATGCAATCAACAATCTAAATATTTAATTTAATATCTCGATAGGTATGCACTTTAACTATAGATTGAAACTAATTTATTCTATTTCTTAACATATATTCGGATAAATTAACGTTGTTTTTTTTAATTTGTTTAATAATTATATTATTGTTTACGTTAATCGAATGGATAATGTCTCATAAGAGGCAACAGCCACTTATATATATGAAAAGCACTACAGACATGAAGTCATGACTCATGATGTAACACTTGTGGTAGCCCTGATGCGTTGCCATTTTGAAGGATGAAGATGTTATGACTCTGTACCTACCCTGTAATGAACAGTCAAGTAGTTAATTAATGAAGATAATATGTACTGTGAATTTATTCCATTAACTTTACAATAATAAGACCTATTAAGTATTATTTTTATTTGTTATTAATTGAAACTTTCTTTTCTACTTCCAGATTGAGACAGGTAAGATAATTTTGATAACAACCTATCAGCTTACTTCATATTCATATAAATGCATGATATTCATTTAATTTATCAGTGTATTAATCACCTTTATAACGTTCGTCTTTATGGTGCATGTAGGCAATATAAATAAATATTTTTTTACAGATATATGTACCTCCCTTGCCTCAACCCCCTCCTCTTCCATACGTTCCTGGTCTACCACAGCCGCCACCTCTCCCCCAGCCACCACCACTATTCGGCTTTGACTTTTCTCACCCACGAGTACGATTTCCCCCAATACCGCCTATTGTACCCTTTGTTAATATACCCTCACCTGACGAAATCCTGGATATCAAGCCAAAACCAGGCCAATTCTTCAATGGGATTTCAGTCAAATCACACAGCGGTTTCGCTACGGACAGTGATGGTAAACCTGTGAAGACTGGCGGTACGACAGTGGTTATTAACGATAATGGAGAAGTTGAAGAAAAAAAAAGTAAGTAAATTTTCAATTTAGACCAATTAAAAAATATAAGACGGTAATTTACTAAAAGGTAGTCACTATTCTATGTGTGGGTGAATTTGCATTCATGAACTAAATTGTATAGTAAAAAGATTTACATCGTAAACGATTTCACATTAGAATCACATTTTATTGCATGCAAAATGTGCAACAACTCACTTACGCCTTAGCGTTCATCGCGACAGTTGACTGGTAGATAATATCATCAATCAGGAATTAGATAAAAAGATAAATTCTTTATTCACAATTACAGACACAGAAAAAACATGAAATTAATAAAAGAAATGTAGGTGACTATATGTGCTGCAAAAGTAAAAAGGCAGCCAACTCAGCATAATACTACAGATAACTCTACAGCGCTGATGTTCTGTTAGCTCCTTAATTAAGTCCATTATGTATCGAATTTGTTTTTGTGCGCAGAAAAACAAACAAATAAATATTTCTTTATAAGTTTTAATAGAATATCATAAATATGTATGGCCTGGTATTCCAAGCAAGATATTGACAATCAAAACAAATATGGGCATATTTCTTTCACAGTGGTTCCGATATTTTATATGAATTGATACTTCCTATCTGTTTTTATTTGGTCTTGTAATTTAATATACCTATATATATATATAACTGTCCTTGCTTTTGATATATTATTATATTATCTTAATGGTCACAGAAGAGATCGTGGATGAAAGGCATTACAGCTAGATTAATTAAACAGTTTTATTAAACATTTGATGTTTGAATAAATGAGGGAATTATAATGATATTAGGAATCTCAATAGTACATTAATATCCGAGTAGAAATGCATCTATTCAATTCCCCATCAATTCTTATCTTAAATCTATCTACTACTCGTCTCTAACTACTCGCTACTCGTATTTGTGCTGGTCTGGAGTCCACAGATTCTATTATTTATCTGTTGTTATTGTAATATTGTAAAATTCCACTATTTATTATTTATATGAAATATAGGAAAAATAGACTTAAACAAAGCTTTTTTATATATGTTTCAATCATTAGATTAAATTTTATTATTTGTTTACAGTTGGAGATGATCCTCCCAAAATCCGCAAGTCGAAAAAGTAAGTGATACTTATATTATTTTAGTTCTGTACTGACTTTTTTAATTGGAAAGTGTGTCTAGTCTGCCTTTCAGTTTCTTTATTATCTTTAAATCAGTAAACTACTGAACGGATCCTAATAAAATTTAACACTGAAAAATATTGAAATTCTGAAACTAATACTGCATAGTATATATACATAGTATTTTATAATTTTCAGCTTCAGAATTTGTCATAATTTGTATTCAAATAGTATCATCTGTATGATAATGGATATTCAATCGATTTATTAAATGAGATGTACTTCGTTCTGTTAATTTTAAGTAAATTCAATCGATTTCTGTAGTAACAGACATGAATAAAATATTAAAAATTAAAAAATCGTAGTATTGTTTCAATACCAATTTTCTTACGATTGAAATCTATTTCTGTAGACTATCAATTCAAATATAATAATATAAATATTACTTTATGGTGTAGGTATATATCAGTTGTTAAACCAATATAAGTTATGTGTATTACTACGTACTGCACACATCTTATATTGGTTTTTGATATATGTATAGCATTCACGCGCATTCCAGACCTACTTATTTAGTTGTACACAATAAATCGTTTACAGCAATATAATTATATTATTTTATTTTGTTTCAGAAAATCATCGGTAAGCTTTTAACATAACAATTAACTAATGAAATACAATAATTAGATATATAAAAATGTAATAATATGTACGTTTATTTTATTGTAGAACAACTAACTTTTATACTTAAAGTGGAGATCGCATTAGGATTTACAGGTAAATAGCGACTACATAATGCATCAACATAAAGACGAACTGTAAATTAATCGTTGCACGTAAATAATCGAGTAGATTGATTCATTCATTAGTTATTTATATTTATATTAAGTAGTGCTAACTGTAGTCAGCTTCATGATGCTATATTTTACATTAACATTACATATTATTTTATACGATTGTAGAATGTATATGAAATGGTATATAATGAAAAATCAAATCAAAATAATTTCTTTATTCATTTATATCGATTACAGACTCTTATGATAATATCAAATCTATCCTCTATTCAGAGTGCTTTCGGGCTAAGAACTGACAAGAAACCCAGGTCTTATTCCTTTCAAATGAGCTTGTAGATCTGTACAAACATGCAGATTCATTTTTAAACACAATTAGGGAGAACAGAGTGATTATTTTTAAAGACCCGGTTAATAATATAAATAATAGAGTGATTACCAGCTTATGCAGAATGAGTACAACCCTAGTACAAGGTCGTAACAGAACTAAAGGCACTATTATTACAAAGAGAGTCCTGATGCCTTAGAAGGAGTAATTTTATTTTGAGATAGATAAATTTCCGAACCCCTAACCTTGAATTAAAAAAATTCAATAACTGATTGTTTTATAACAAGATAGAGTAGTATGTTAATAAATATAAAATAAATAAATATAGTGTTAGGGGCATCACTAACTTAGTTCTATAATAATAGTAGTCTAATATACTCCTTATAAGTGAGTGAAAGTTCGGTCTAGTCGTTTCAGACATTAGCATGAGCAAACATACAGAGAGAGAGAAAGAAAATATATATATTTTTTTGTGTAAGTACCGTATTTAGTGAAAAACTGCTGAAGGTTAATATAAAATTAGAAACACTTTAATCAAGATACATATATAGATTTACAAAGCAATTTAAATCGATGTGCCTTTAATTTTTTCATGTACGGATATTTGTAATATTTTTATATACGGATGTGCCGAGTTAATTAGAGGTAATAAAGCTAAATGGGTCTTTTAGTTCATCAGTCACGAATTTCTCCGGGAGTGTTAAATCATGGTCTGTGACCAACTAACAGTTCCGTGCACATTTCTTTTCCTGTCATCTTTGTGTAACAGGGTACTGGTTTGGCAAGCTTCCTGCATATATGTATAGTTACTATTCAAAATTTCTTCTAATGATCTAAGTGGTTATAGTTTTAAGATAATTAACAATTATAGTTATGAATGAAATGTGTACTATGTAACTAATAGTGTAGTACTAGCTGTGCTCGCGGTTGCACCCGCGAGATATTTATAGTCATATATTTAATTCTGATGTAAAAGCTATATTACTGTGAAGTTTCTTCAAAATCAGTTCAGTAGTTTTTGCATGAAAGAGTAACAAACATACATCCATACTCACAAACTTTCACTTTTACAATGTTAATAGGATTTTCACATAGTATACATTTCATATTAACATATGCTAAGAATTTAAAGACTTAACACCAGATATCACTATACCCATTATAAAGGTTTCATGTGTAAAGTTGAAAAAGAATCATCAATTTAAATCAATTTAAAATTTTATTATATTCTTCTACAATAGTTTTATATTAACAATATGAGACTGATGTAGTTATTAAAAAAACTAGAGAACTGAATAATTACAAATACAAACTAAAGATATTTCATTTAATTTTTTTTACCTCAAGACTGTGCTAGCACAGACATAGCGTCTGTTGCCGTTTACTCTAAGGATATGTTGTAAACTTAGGTATATCTAAAGTAAAGTAAATTTTATTTATATGTTTATTACATTATTTAACTGTATCATATATATACAATTATATATAAAAATAAACCACATGGGTTGTTTCAATATATTTGTGTGAATACATTTATAAGTACCGACCCAACTATTTCCAGATAATATTATGTCGTTATTGTTTCTATTTTTTAATAAAGTGTATTTATATTTCTACATATTTCAGGCACCCAAATTTAAGCCAGCATTTGACCCATTTGTCTTCGAACCCATTACCTTCAAACCATTTGTCTTCGAGCCGATAACTTTTAAACCAATCGACGTTAATTATAAACCAAAACCTGGTGAGAAATTCATAGCAACATCCAGTTCATCACACCACGAGGAGACAATTGTTGATGGAGTTAAGAAAAGTAGCGGAGGAAGTGATATAGTTACCAACGTTGATGGAAATATAAATGAAGAAGGTGTGGAATATAAAAAGGGAGACAAACCAAAAAAGAATAAAAACAACAACAAAGAAACAGAAAATAATAACCAAAATAATGATTAAATATTAGAAACCTTCAAAAATTATGTTTATATTTTTTAACATTAATTACATTTATTCAATATTATAATAATAAATCATCATCATATTTATTTTGAGCATTCTTCTGTAATAAGGTATGAACAACAAAAGAATGTACTGTAAGCATTGATTGACATATAGCATTCACGATTTTTTTTTAATTTACCGCTTCTATAAAGTTGTTAATATACGGATACATAAAAATGCTCACAGCCAATACTTACTCTAAGATATATTTCAATATGTATTTATTTACTGTTTAAAATAGAGGACTTCATATTTATTTTAACACTAAAACTATTGTTGATAAACAAAACAGTATATGCTATTAAGAACTTATTAACTTGTTGAAAATATTATGTATGTCTTTTTACTAAAAGTTTTTTTTAGTAAATATTATTGTTATATAAGCCATTCTACAATATAATGAGAAGTGTGTATCTTTCTAATTAAAGGACTGTTTTAAATAACATTTTTGCATCTGGTTTTGTCCACTTCATTATATTATATATTACTCCTCTATAATAAAATGCGTTTCAATTAATATCTCTTAATATTTTTAATATATACATATTTAAATGAAATTAATTATAACTGGTGTGAAGGATTTATTATTTAATTAATTAATTAATGTACCGGAATATGTAAGTATTTTAATTAAGTATGTCAATAGTCCTAGAAAAACATGATTTGACTCCCTAAAATAAATAACGCTCACAGAATATTATTATTTTTGAAATAAAAGGATATCATGAAATACAAAAAAAAAAACCAACAATTGACATTAGCGACATTCTATGTACACAAAGGTATAAATAAAGATTCTAGGTTCCTCATTTACTTACTTACTTTCCGTTTTTTTAAGTTGGTAGTAGATAAACAATTGAAATTTTAACTGCACTCTGCAAGTACAATTCAGGTATTTATATCAAATAATTTAAAACCATGTTCCAGAGAAACAGATTTCCTGATTACCATACTGCTACTCTCATGGGATTAAACATTATAACTGAAAAAATAATTATTATTATCGCCACAGAGTGGGCAAAGACATAGTTGAAATTAAACAAAATTAGATACGTAGATGATAATATACGTAAATTATAATGCCCTAATTTATAAAATTTACTTGTAATGTGAGCTTCAAATCCATGCAATTTCAGTTTAGTCTACATATAAGTAGCTTCAAAAGTCTAATGCCACTTAATACCTAAGAAGTGCTTGCAGACTTTATTAGAGGTATTTCTTTAGTATTTTGAGGTTAGTTAATTAATAAGCGAGTTCTAATTATTAGCTAGGAAAATTTTAGTAATCAGTATGACATTTTGATGCTTACGCATGTGTGATGGCAACGAATTACTAGATCCCTGCCGGCATTGGTTGACGTAGTGGCCACTAACGTCCGGTGTTATGTATGTATATACAATATAAAACATAATTTTTCCGTCTATATCCTATAATTATTCAATTACGGGGTAATAAGTTTTCATTCATATTATTATATGGTTACTATGCGACAAAATTGTGAAACTAGAAAAAAATTGGTCGAACGCACAACCAAAAATACAAAAACTTGGAAACGACTAAAGATAAAGATGTATTATTCAGAACTGAACTATTCACAGGAGAGTATTAGCACAGATAAAATAATATTACATAGTATTAGTAAGTTTGGAGTGTATCCTGTTCATTATAAAGAGAAATAACAAATCAATTTAGAATTAACAACACACAAATAAATTGTCGATATAGTTAAATTAAATGTTTTACTTGTTGAATTTAGTTGAAAACAAGACTACGTGACTCGAACTTTTAATGCTGAAACGAAAATATGTTTGTATAATCAGCTGAAGAAAACATCCGATGACGTAGGATCTCATTAGTAAATCATTAGACGCGTAAATGGGTAATAAAGTTCGACGTCTCTATTCAATGAAGTATTGCAAAACATAAAAGTACTATGAATTTTCAGAATACCAGTCATAAACAAAAGACAGTCAAAATGAGAACAATTACAATAATATATTGTAACAATTGTATATACGTTGGCATTATAATTTACTTTATTTTTGCGCTGTAATTCTCCATTGGGGAAAAAGAACACTGTTATTTTCTCCTAACTTATATATGTTATACTAGCCTGTGCCTGCGACTTCATTCGCGTGGCCGTGATTGATCGCAATGAAAAATATCCATTCTTATCCTTCTCCATGTAAATATATATATATATATATATATATCAATATGATTGATTGTGCTGAAATCTTGAAAGCGAAAAAAACTTACTTTCGCAATTTTACGTAGTCAATAATTTACAAAATGAATTGCTTTTCAAGGAACATCATTATATAACTCATATATTTATTTATGCAACATTAAAATAAACATTTTATTTCTAAAGGTGTATAATTAAATAAAAGTAATGTTTAGAGTACATATATAAATTTAAATATGAAAACATTGCATTTTCAGACCTCATATTATAGCTTAAAAATATGTGTGCCAATTAACATATTCATATATGGTTTTCTCTCAAACAAATTTGAGGCTAGGAATTATCGTTACAATGTTCTGTAGTCAAATAATATTATAATGTATGAAATATTTGCACGCTTGTATGCAGACTGAATACAATAAAATATCAATGTTTTTGGACGTACCAATGATGTTTGTCGATCATTCCCATATAAGACTGTCGATATCCAGTCCCGAGAAATGAGGTCTACTAGCTTTTTTTCTTCTAGTAGTGTATAGCTGTGGAATTATTGAGGTTATGTTTTAGGTCTCCCTTAATATTTGACATTACATAAAGAATTTATCTTTAAAACGAATACTTGTATGCCTCATAATATAAGTTGTATCCTCTTTTACTGCGAAGTAAGCCAGACTAAATTTTTGCTGATTTACTATATAATAATAATAATACTATTTACAAACTGTAAAATTGTTCTTTATCATTTAAGTAAATGTATGAAAAAATCAGTAGAATTTAGAACCCCTTTCGTTAAGAAATCTGTTGAGAAGAAAACAAAACCACTAACATTAGTTACTTTTTTGAGGCGCCATATAAATTTAAAAGATATATCGTGACCATTCCAATATTTCCTATTCTCCTCAATATATCAATATCAAAGTAACAATTACTCAAGGTCTTCTCAGTTAGTTCTCCGTTATATAAATTAAGAGTTTCGTCCTAAGTTACCATAGCTTCATAAGACTTAGCAAGCACTGTTCCATTTAGTATTTTTTCCAAAATGACTAAGTTCGCTGTTGTGTTTGTACTCGCCGCATTCATTTGTATCACTAAGGGTATATATATTATTATTTTATATTTAAAATGTTTTATTATAATCATATTATTATCTTAATTACTAGTTAATTTGTTGTTCTTTTAGCTAGTGAAATATCCAGCCTATTGATACTTAGAATTTCTTCGTAAAGTTTGAATCCAAGTACTTGGATAATGATGACTCGCGCATTCCAGTAATTCTGGCAAAAGATTAAGAGAACGAATACCGTTGGGTTTTTAGCCGGTAAGAGTCTGGCAGTACCCGGGTATCTATAAGAATTTTCCCTAAGTTAAAAAATTGCGTTAGGTGTAATGCATGCATAAATTTACGAGTAGACTGTAAAAAAAATTCTGTGTGGATATGTCATTTACATTAGCGACCAAGCAGCTTGCTTTGTAAACTTGTATATGAATGTCACATATTTAAAATGTCATACTTCATACCTAAATTAATTACTATCTCTCCTTCTAGGACTGAAATATAATTTTCTGTTACACGACGCTACAAATAGGAGAAACATAAGTACTCTCGCAAACGAATTTAGGCTCTTATAAACTCATTTGGGTTCCATTTCGACAAAGCATTCTCTCAACAAAATACTCTTGCACTAGCTTATTGCCCTTAGACTGCCCAGATCCTGGGAATGAACACGACTGGTGATGATGATTACTTCTTCGCCATAACACACATAAAATAGATTATTTTATCAAAAATATATTATGTACAAATAAATTTTATTAACTATTGATTTCAGTAAAAGCTGACGATCTTCCTCCACTTCCAGGGTGAGTAATTTTTTCATTACTTCCAGAATTTAAAGTTGCAACAACTTTAAATTGATTATAATTGACACAAGAATAATCATATTATTTATATGAAGTGAAAATTTACTATAAGGTTGATAATAATATGACGAATAATTAAATAAACATATTGTTAGTCTAATTCATTCTAATATTATAAATATCAAAACGTAACTTTCTATTTATCTGTTACCTTTTCACTACCTGACTAAACGGCTGAACGTATTTTAACGAAATTTGACATGCAGATAGATAGTGTCACGAGGACCGACATACATAGACTGCCTTTTATCTAACAAAAGAAGACGAAGTTTATTTATTTATTGATTCAATTAATCTATACATATAAATAATAATGTTTTTTACTACATGCATATGAATATAAATACGGTACTTACACTAAAATAACATTTTTTTTAAATTTTTGTTGTCTGTCTGTTTGTTCCGGATAATTTTTGAAACGGCTGGACCGTTTTAACGGGACTTTTTTTTGGAAGGTAGCTGACGTAATAAGGATTAATTTAGGTTACTTTTATTTTAGAAAAATAAAGTTAAATTCCACGCGGACGAAGTTGCGGGTGCAGCTAGTACAATATATACTTACAGTTAATTGCGAATACTTTTATATCCTTAAATTATTATACTTAACTATATACTCTATTTAAAGATATCTAAGATCGGATTATCAACTAGTTTTGTATATATATGGAGTATTTTTTATTGACTCTTCTTTCTTTTTTATATTGCGATGGTGGCAAACAAGCATATTGTCCATCTGATCGTAAACGGTTACAGTAGTCTATGCACGTTTGATACGGCAGCGATGTCACGTGCGCGTTGTCAACCCTTAGGAAACCTTAATATGCCTTTCTAGAAAAATCTCACTTCTTATAGCCAAATATGTGAGAACTTCCTATTAGGCGTGGAAATTATTATAATAAAGCAACAAAGTATTATTATTTATTAAAAATGATCAGTTTAATTTAATTAATTAATTAAAATAACAAATTAAATGTACTATCATAATATAGCTATTCTTGTCGAAAATTAAAGCTTCAATTAATTCAAATACTATATAATACCAAATGTTTAAATTATTTGCTTTACGATGTACATGTATTGTAGCTACATATATATGTATATATTACTTAGTACGCATACGCATGTATAATTGTAATTACTATCTACGTCAGCTATTATGACAGCAGACAATTGTTATAATGTAACATTTGAATTATTTACATGACTTTAAAAAGTGATTTGTCAACTCTAACTTAGATCAGTCAATCAACCCGTGGTGGCGAATTCATGATGGTTTTCAGGATAAACTGCGTGTAGGCCGATCTGACATGGTACATTGCATTAGGAATATTAGTGCCCATTACTAATTAACCCCTCCAACTAGTCATAGAGCTAAAAGATTGAATTGGCCACATTGTTTATTATTGAAATATCGTAAAATGAGCAAAGGGTAAAACGGTAAAAAGCTGCTATAATATAAAAAATATATTAATCCTACCAATCTATGAAAATTTACCATTATTAATGACAAAAACTCATTAACGCTCATTAAATTCTCGTAGGTCGTTATAAAATATTATTAATTGATATAAAAACGTACTTTTTCATTTTACAGAGATGACGGATTAACAAATCCCTCATTGCCTCCATTGCCTCCATTGCCTTCATTACCCGACACTCCCAATATTGTAAGTATTACTCCCATGTATAATTTATTTATTAATATAATATAGTTTTATTGACAAAAGGATCTTCTAAGTCTCCTTAGTCATATGCATGCTGATATGTACATATATGTTTAAATGTCCCCTGCGATCGATCTCCCGTCCAATTTAAACTGGTATCGAAATTACGACGGCCTGGGCCGAGGTTCGAACCCCTAGCGGTGCCCTCAGACTAAAGTCGGATCCACCAGGCGAGAGTTGGCCTTCAGCCGCTCCATAAGTCCTTCCGCGGGTTTGGTGCGCCATCTGCACTTGCCATCTATCGTCCGGTGAAGCTGTAAAAGTCAGCTGTGGCCAACTATTTTTCCTATTTCAGTTGCCAAGTAGCTTGCTTTATAAGCTATGTTTAGGAAGAAGAGTTAAATGTAAGTTAGAGAATAAGAGGCATAACATCTATTAACATTACAGGAACCACCCAATGGCGTCCTGAATCAGCCGCTTAAGAACGGTGACTTCCATTCCGTCTTGAGGAGCAGTTTTGAGAAAACAGAGACTAAGAACGGTAAAGTGGTGGATAACGAACATGGCGGACATATTAGCACAGATGATAATGGAGTTAAAAAGGATATTTCGTTTAGAAAATAAGTACTGCCTGCCTAATGTCCTAATTGTTTCATTACAAATCTGAAATTGTTTAAGTATTACGTAGAAATATAAAATGCGCATAAAAATACTCTTGGTTTCATTTATTATAGTAATAGCAATTGTGTACCTGGAATCTGTTCAGACAGACGAGATCAGTCACATGGTATCTCTTCTTTACATACAACATAATAATTGTGACTAGGTGAAAAAAGTATGTTGGTCTATTTGGATAAAACAGATAAATACAATCTTTCACAATTGCACGCGCTGTATTTCCCTAAATCCTATATAAAATATATATCCTTCCCTAGTTCCTTATTGAAAGAACCTGGTGTGTAAGGCTGCTAATATACAGTCATACTTTGTCTATACCCTCCGTCTTTCTCAACGTGTGTCGTAAGTTATAGATGACCCTTAGACTACTATACAGTATTTAGTTTTTGTTTGATCAAAATTCTGTTACAGTTACACCTTAATGAACTTACTGGCTTTTGGTTATTATAGAATAGTAAGCATATTTAACAAAAAAAAAAAGAATTTACTCGTAGACCATATTAGTATGTTTCTAAAATAATATCAAATAAGTTCTATGGATTGCAAAGATTACCATAGATGTATGTAAATACATTCAACGGATGGCAATGTTTTTGTTTTATTATTTAACAACAGATAAGGGAATATTTATACTGGTCTCTTCAGCTGACATTTTCTATTCTGAGCTAACGAGAAACTCAATGTTTCCTTTTTTAGGAATTTCCTTATACCCAAGCCCATATTTAAACCTTCAAAGATACGTAGGTACACCTTATAATTAAGTGTTTAACATCTCTTAAGACAAGAACCAGAAACTTGATCATAAAAACCAATGTGCGTATAATGTAACCTATTAAGATAGGTTGATACTTAGAAATCATCAACACTCCTAAGATATTTTGTATAGAAATAAATGTGTTAGAGTTACTTTGCTATTTCTAAAGGTAAGAGCACTTTATATACTTTATTTACTATGACTCGGCAATTTCGACTGTATCACACTTACCTGACATTATATTATACAAAATATTAAGCCCTTAATTAAATAATTATCTTTTTAAATCATTACCTACCACCATTTTGAAAACTCGTATAGTAATTTATTACTTACACTATACATCAGAACAGCACATAATCCATTTTGATGTATATGTAATAAATTACTGTATGAGTTTTCAAAATGGTGGTAGGCACATTTATTAACTACATATTTTATAAAAAACACACGTAGAAAAATATTTATTATTTACATAATTAAAGTCTCATCAAAAACCGTAAAGTAGTATTTGCGTGAAAGACTTACAAATATCCATCCATACCCACTAACTTTCGCGTTTATATTATTAGTAAGATGCACGGGTATGCCTTCTTAAGCATATGGATATGTAATATTATGTTATCTGTGATATGGATAATGCTTCTAATTTATCAGAGTAGCAATTTTCTTTATTATAAATACTTAATTGATTTGACACTCTTCTTCAATGTCGAGAATATGTATTAATTAGAAACTATACGGTTTGCGCTTACATTGAAATAATATATCAATACTAATTACCCAGGACACTTGACACTGCGCCATGTAGTCTCAAGCTAAGCAGAGCTTATGTTATGGTTATTAGACAAGTGATAAATATATTTAAACATTATTTTATAAATACATACATAATATACATGGAAAACACCTAGACCAATATAAACAATGATACTCATGAATAGAGAGGTAAATGTTTGAACTGTACGAGGAATCGAACCCCCACTATCAGAAGTAAGGTGGTGTGCTGAAGCGCTGGACCACCGACTGCTCAGTAATAGAGGACCCGGCCAGTTGCTGCTGTGGCTTAGTAGTGGTCAATAAAAAGTATCCTATTTCTTAATAAAACTGCATTAATATTTAAGTTATTTTTATTTGAGCTTTCATAAAACTATAGTGCAAATTACTATGATGATACTATCGATTACGCGAATAATTCTGCGTGGATAGCTATTTCAGTCACCAAGAAGTTTTCATCGTAAGCTGTACATCGGTTGAAGGATGAATTTACAGGATTTGAGACATGAAATCTTAGTCCTCCGCAATGAGAACGTATTGATATCATGGGCGTCACATAATCATTATATGTCCGTGATGCTGTTCATGTAAATGCATGTATAGGTATTAGCGACTTAGATAGGTTACGGCTTCCTAGTTTATCATAATTAACAAATATTTGAGAATATTTGAATACATGGTAGACGGCGAACGATCAATCAATTCGTCTTCAATATATTTCATATAATATTTTATAATTATCAGATAGTTAGTTAAAAATAAAAATTGACTTGAATGGAGGACTTATGGAAGAAGTGAAGATGCAACTTTAGTCTGGGGACACTGTTAGGATGTTCGAACCTCAGCTCATACCGATTTAATTTCGATAGCCATTAGCCATTAGGGCAAACTATCCAGCTAGGTAGATCCAATTTCGAGAAAGAGGTCAATCGTCGAATCCAACTCGGATGGGCAGCGTTCGGGAAGCTCCGATATATCTTTTCGTCCAAATTTCCGCAGTGCCTCAAGACGAAGGTTTACGACCAATGTGTGTTGCCAGTGATGACTTACGGAACAGAGACGTGGTTGCTAACTATGGGCCCCATCAATAAGCTCAGAGTCACTCAGAGGGCAATGGAGAGGGCTATGCTCGGAGTTACTCTGCGTGATCGAATCAGAAATGAGGAGATCCGCAGAAGAACCAGAGTGACCGACATAGCCCGAAGAATTGCGACTTTGAAGTGGCAATGGGCAGGGCACATAGCTCGTAGGACAGATGGCCGTTGGGGCAGTAAAGTCCTCGAGTGGCGACCACGGACCAGAAGACGCAGCGTGGGAAGACCTCCAGCAAGGTGGACCGACGATCTGGTCAAGATCGCTGGAAGGCATTGGATGCGAGCAGCGCAGGACCGATCGCGTGGAGTTCTTTGGGGGAGGGCTATGTCAGGACCGATCGTCTTAAGTAAAAAATTAGTACTTTTGAAAACTTAGGGGAAAAATAATATTAATATAATAATAGGACAATTGATCATTAATTTCGTATCAACGCACTGTGGAGATCTTTTGGGGAGGCCTATGTCCAGCAGTGGACGTTTTCCGGGCTGCGATGATGATGATGATGAGCCATTGGATTTTTTTAAAGCACTGGACCATAACGCCAATTATCTTATCTGTGATAACACTCTCAAAGTTGAGGCTTCTAACCTTTTTATAAAGATAAAATAGTGTTCTTATGTCTTAAGTAAAAAATGAGTACTTTTGGAAACTTAGGGGAAAAATAATATTATTTTCCACTATATATTTAATTTTATTATTACTTTTTGATAGGACAATTGATCATTAATTTCGTATCAACGCACTGCTATATTCCAGATAACAATTAATATAAAAAAACATGACAATTAAATTAATTATGATTATACTATATTTCTCTCTATATTATATAGTGTTTACAATTTACTAAAATAGTAAAAGATACTGTATGTTATAATACGGGTGGTAACCCCACTTCTAACACTCTACATCCAATGAAGGATTTATAATAAATAATTAAGTCATTAATGTGACAATTAATTTGTTTTATTGTTTGCTAGTAGAAATAGAAAGAATCTTAATTTATATATGCTTATTAAATGCATTTCTGAATAGTGTACTTATATCCTCATATTCTTTTATTCTACCAATCATTTGGAACGCAGACACATCATAAGAAGAAGGAACAAAAAACCTGTGTGTTGCTCTTTTAAATAAATGTTATTCACAATTATATTTTCAAGAATGTTGTGTGAATACATACTGCTAAATAGCAATGTTGACATAAATAGGACTAAGAACAGCATCATCTAACAGAAATTCTCAAAAAATGACAAGCGGATTGCTACTAGTCTTTTTGTTCTTATTTCTATATACTTCGACATTCTCTATGGACAGTAATATGTCATTTTCATTTTATTGACGTCATAGTTCGACAAAAAGGAGAATGGGGCGAATAGACTTCGTGTAATCAATAAAAATATAATGTAAAGCACCTGAAAGTAAATTCCGTACAAATCTAAATAATAACTTCCTCGTTAGTACCTGATGATTAATTTAGTTAGTGGATTAATTATATTAACAATAAATAATAATAATTTGGGCAACACATAATTATTTTTAAAATATTGGCTTATGTTCTAAAAACATAACATTTTGATATCGATGTTGTATTAAAATTATTGTATACTTCCATCCTTACTAATATTATAAATTAGAAAGTTTGCATCTCTGTTTGTTTCCTTATCATGAATAAACGACTGAACGGATCTCAATGAAATTTAATATGAAGTCACATATTTTATTTCGACATCTAATATAAGTTATCTTACGTATTAAAAAAAATGAAGAAACGAAAAATATCTGGTTTGGTATATATAAAAAAAATCGGTAACTCATATTAATTATAAAAGAAACTGTTAAAAATAGACCAGTAATATTACTGAATTCTTGTGTCGCGCCTTTCTTTCTTTCTTTCTTTTTTTACCAATCTCCTCCGAAACCTCCGATTTTTATGAATATATGCACATTCAGCTGTTTTTTTATTGCTTTGACATCATTTCTTATGTTTATTTTATTTATATTTGCCAATAAAAATACATACAACCCTAATTTTCGCCTTCGCGCTTCTACCACCAACCCCTATTTTTAATAGCGATATTAGTACTTAATTTTATAAGATAAAACGTTTTCCGGGACAGCGAGTTTATTATAAAAAACGTAGGTACGCTATAATATTTAAAGTCATAATACACTGTTCCAATATTACCCACATTCCTCAACACATCAGTATCACAACAAAGACTCAAGGCCTTTTCAGTTCGTCATATAAATTAGGCGTTCTTTTCATATGCACCACAGCCTGATAAGAGCCTGAACGAGTTGTTATATTTAATATTTTTTTCAATATGAATAAGTTTGCCGTTGTGTTTGTGCTTGCTGCATTCCTTTGCATCACCGGTTAGTATTTATAATAATATTAAATAATTTCATGGTAGTATGTCATTTGTTAAACAGTTTACTTACTGTAATTTTACTCAATACTTACTTTTAGGTTTATTTTATTTGACGGCCTCGGTGGTCTAGCGATCAAGCACACCGCTTTACGTCCGATGGTCGCAGGTTCGATTCCTCGCACGGCACAAACATTTGTATTCATAGCTTAACTTGGGTCTAGATGGCGCTGTGTGAATTGTCTGGAGATTATTATTATTATTATTCTTATTTAAATTATATGCCGATTTTCTAAATTAAAATTAATTTGTGTTAGATAGTGAATCCAGTGTTTTGTATTGTATACCACGGTCATACATATCGATATAAAATTTAAAAAAAAAAGAAACAATTAATAGGTTTTCTGGTTTTCTTACTTCTTTTTTTATTATAACTTCATTAATGGTGGTCTACTGTAGATCGAATGATTGCGAACAGGGATGAATGGAAGAGAAAAACATATTACGCCGACCCCAAATAAATAGGATAAGGAAGAAGCAGATGATGACTGTAGACCGAAAACATTCTGTTAGATTCCTTTGTTTTTAATTTTAAGATTTAATTATCTTTAGTACAGTTAACAGTAGTCTACTATAGTTATGTCAAGTGGGTTAATTCGGCCCTGAGCATCGGTAAGGTAGATCACCTGTCACTCGCCTTTTGTGGGAGTGACTGCGTGATAGACACCTGAAATTCACCATGACTGTGAATAATCTCAAAATATATAAAGATTATTTATTTTTATACATAACGTATTATAGTATAAGAGTATTCAGGAAGAATTTAAGTTGGGATTTCATAAGGGTTATTACTTTCTACCATGATTTGATTGCGAGATAGTTTTTTGTTTTATATAACAATGTCATTATTTTTTACTAATAGAATTGTATAATTTTATTTTTCAGTTAATGCGTATGACTTCCAACCGTAAGTAAATCATTAGCTTGCTTTTATTATAAGAATACTTCTGTTTGTTTGTAACGTAAGTAAATAACTAAACTATTATTAAAATATTCACAGATTTGATGCCTTCGGTTTCCCGGCGTTTACTCCACTAAAGATCAATATACCCAAAATTGTAAGTACTCTTTTAGTCTTATTATTTTTAGTATAATATTATATAATACACAAATTTATAGTTATAAGGTTGGTGAGAGCCATCGAGAGCGATGGTCCCTTTTGCGTTACTGAAAACATCTAAGAGTATAGTTGTCATTGTTGGCGGCGACTTTCTTTTATAGTAAATGTTCCAGCCATTTCAGAGATTGGCTGGAACAAACAGACAGATAAAAATTGTAAAAAATGTTATTTTGGTTTATGTACCGTATTTATATTCATATGCTTGTGGTAAAAAACGGTAGAGTAGGACGGCGTCCGCTAAATTCTTGGTTAACAATAAGATTTACTAGTTATTCAAAATTAAGTAATTAAGCTTTGTATTGTTAATTTAAAATAAACTTATTTCTGAATTGTAATAAACATTATGTTATATTTTTTCCTGACTGTAATTATTTCAAAGTAATATTCTGGCTGCGAAAACGTGAGTAAAGGTATATCGTGTAGGTACTTTTAATGTTTGTATATGTAGTTTATGTACATAATGAGTTGTAAAATGCAATGAAAATAAATATAATAATATGCCACGTGAAACGATGTGTTTGTTACTATTTATTTAAGATATTTTCAGACTCTTAACGTAGTCGTCAACAGAACCTACGTATTTTACAAAATACGTACCTTACAAAAATAATAGGACAGACCATCGAAATGAAATCCTAAAGAACACACTCAAAGTGACTGCGATACGGGACGAAAATTTATGCAAATTCGGGGGTAACTGTTAGTATATTATAAATAGGATTTTGTTGTGAGGAAACAAAATCCTATTTCTTTATAATATACTAGGAAGTTGTTTATTTCACAGTGACATAGTAACATAAACAAACAATATATATGACCTACTTTTTTTAAAGGGATTTTGATGAAAATTATTTTCTCTTCTAAGTAACATATAGCAATTAGACGAGTCAATATATATATATATATACATATATATAATATGAAATTTTCTAATTACAGAAACCCCTTACTCCTGAAGAAATAAAGAATTTGAAGCCATCTGATGGCTCTGTCGTAAATGGTGCTTCCGTGTCCAGTTCATCTTCATATGAAACAGTCAATGGAGTGCCTGTGAGGAAAGATATCACAAAAATACTAACCAACAACAACGGAGACGTCAAGGAGTACACCTATGGAAATTAAAAAAAGAATTAGTCGTTTTTTCTTGTAAGAAGTCAATAAATATCTAGACTTGAATTTAGAATAGAATATTTTGAAATAGAAACAGTAAAAAGATTTTGTTCAACATTTGAAATATGTATTAAAAATAAAGTAATGCTCAATAGTAGATTCTATATATACCCATGCAGTATTTTTTAGCGCGCCCATTCCACTTTCAAAAACATAGAAAACTGCTTGAAAACTATTACTACTACTACTTACCCTAAGTACGTACTAAATAAAATATCTTAACATAGTGATTTTTTTCCCATTGCGTAGAAAAGTACAAAAAGCCATATTTGCTACATGAATTTGATAATGTGTTTAGATATATGGCCTTGAATAGTTCAATTGGATATTCTGTCATTAATAGGATAATATTGTTATTTTATATCTTGTAGCAGGATTTCCTCAATTATGTTTGCTATACCTAAGGGCCACAATACTTATAAAAATGACGAAAGTCTCGATGTCTCATTTAACTAGGCTGTATGGCGTTTTCCTTTGCATTCCCCACTTGTATAAACTGTGACTGCCATTAAATGTATTTATGGTAATGATAATATATAGCATTTCTGAACTTTATGCTACTTTTAGTTCTTTACATACAAAGAAAACTATTGTCACAAGTTTGAGGACATTTCATTTTTACAGTGTAATAAATAATGTCGTAATTCATTCTTACAGTTAGGTGTAGATGACAATGGAACCATCATGTTTATTATTTATACTTACAACTCAAACGCAGACAGTAGTTATTTACAACATGTTGTTTTATTTCCCAAACAGTTTATTATATATATGTATATATATATTATAATTACTTAGTTATTTAGTTACGTTCCGTGATTCACATCATACGCGGACTGTTAGACAAATTAAAAATCTGTGTCAGAAAGATCGTAAGCATTGAAGTGATTGAACAGACAATATTTCAAATTTATGTCAATATATATAGGTATATAAAAAGTCTAAATCTTTCCAACCAATATCATTAACAGTATGCACTTTAACTTTTAATTTTCACAATAGTCCTTTTCATTCTAAGCGTTCATCCATGATTCCATGTACTTCTAATTTCTAACTAGTACTTCACATGAATTTTATGCAATTTTGACCCGTCCCCTTCTACTGTGACGTCACATATTTTCTAATTATACTAAACAGAGTGTATTCTCCTTAAGAAAATAATTTGACCTGTATAATAAGAGATACAAAATTATATATTTTTTAGCATTCAATAATAGTTCAAACACCGTTTTTGTTTGTAAACCAATTGAACACTATTTTTAATGATAGAACCCAAATGAAGATAGTTGAATTTATTTGTTTATTGTCTATGCCTTTACCTTATTACCTTTGAGTGAGCTAATGTCAGAAATGTTTTAACTGAGTGTTGGTTTTCGCTAATAGACAGTGGCTTCCCATAGCTTTACTTAAAAATTTGTGTCTGTTTTATTTCAATCGGTTTACATACAATACGAAGTCGCGGTCTCAGCCAGTCAATTCTATTTTAGATATAATATTTACCTGTAGCTTCATAACATGAATTAACCAACTTATCCCCGATGTTGTGTTGCATCCGACTACTGCAACTAACTGACTGACTAATAAGACACTTATTTTTTATGTACCTTCTTGGAATGACTAAGTAGCAGACGTACCACCTTTAAGTGGTAACAACTCATGCATTGTTATTGCAAAGGACTAAGATGATAATATGATCCCCTAATTGTATGCCTTATCTCACAGCTCATTCTTCAACCGAATCACAGCTTCAATAGCAAACGCGATCAGCGTAAACTATATGGCGATATTCGATCTCTATTGCTTTTTAGTACGTAACTGCCAACTATTATGCATACCTAATAAATACGACGGCCGCGGTGGGCTAGCGGTTTAACACACCGCCTTACTTTCGATGGTCGTAGGTTCGAATCCGCGTAAGGCACAAACATTTTGTATTCTTGAATATATATAATTGTTTGTATCGGTCTGGGTGTTTTCTATATATAATATGTATGTATTTACGAAAAAAATATATTTATGTATTTATATTAGTTATCCAGAACCCATAACACAAGCTTTTGCTAGTTTCATTTGGGTCTATGGTCACTGTGTGAATTGTCCTGTGACTATTATTATAATTACAGTAAATTGCGCCATCTATAGGTGTAATATAAAACTATGACACAACTATGTGATAACTAACATATATATGCTTTTAAATATGATACATATTTAACTACTATTAATACAGGTGTCATTAGTAGTAATTTCGAAGCATCCTTATTTGTCTAGGTAATAGGACCTTTAGAAAGCGGGTGAGAATCCCGCGCAATACAAACATTTGTATTCCTGACCATATACACTTCCAGACGGCAGGTGTTTTTTATGTATGTATTTACAACCATAAATATATGTATACTAACTAACTAGGGTAGTCCGCACCTTCCTAAGGGGATGTAGGTAAGGGCCTTCAGCATCGGCCCCTGGGCAACAGGAGGCTTGATAGAGCCCTCTTCGAATGGAAATCTACTTTAATTAATAACAATGGATATAAAGAGAGAGAACATAAAAAAAACATTATTACTTTTGTCCCGCTACAATACATTACAATCCTGATTCTTACAGCTAGGCACAAAATTCTCCTAAACAATCATGGCTAATATCTAGGGAGCAGGAGTTTATATATCCTCTTATTATATTCTCTAGTTATCTCTGTCCAACGTTCTGAAAATGAAAAGCAGTAATATAATTCGAAACGACAAGTCTATTTTGTGCATTCTAGATAGGTCTTAGTTGAATTGTTAATCTATAGATCACAACACTCTTAGCTAATTTTAACTCTTTTAAAATATTTTGTTTTTAGCGTATTTAAAGGAAGCGAAAATCCTTGGAATTAAATATGATGATGATTAAATAAAAATGTCAAGGCTTTTGGAGACTAACACCAATTTGAACTAGAGGGGAGGGTCAACAGAGGGGATTGTTAATATAGCGACGATGAAATATTGCTGGCGATATCTGATATGTTGTCAGAGTCAGAACGTTATATGGTTGAACCCTGGACGCCGTGAATAGCGGTTTCTTCCAAGTGACCTTATTTTATGCTTTATTAAATCATCATTTGCTGATGGCAAGTCCATTTTAACCATTTACTAAAATATGTACTATTTTAAAGTAGTACTTAATCTATACTTACAAGTAGAACGTACATAATTATGTTATGAAAATCTATCTCTAAGCTTCTGAGAATGGTATAAACGTTTAAAACATTTATACCATTCTCAGGTGTTGATACTCTCTATATTATATAAATCAATGATATAATTTATTATATCATTGATAATAGGTACGTATTTACTGTACATAACATCTTTGCTTAGTTAGCCTATATCGCATAAAAACGAAACTCCAATTCTAAATTTGAAATCATTATTATTTTCCCTCCTTATAAATATCAAAAATCAATCTTTTATCTTAGGGGGTAAGGGGATTGTTAGTAATGTGGACTAATGATCCCATTACTAGCATTGTACCGTATACATGCAATAATATATGTTTTGTTCAAGAGAACTGGACCTGTTTATTATACTGAAACTTCAATACATGGGTAAAGTAAATGCACGTCGAAGAAATGCTTGAATGTCGTACAATAAATATTACACACATAAAAGGAAGGGCGTCTGTCTACCTATGTATTTAAATATCAGTTTCTGCTTGTAGCATCATCATCATCATCATTTTAATGCTTTTTTTATTTCAAAGAATTACGTGAAAATGAGTACAGACATTTGAAGACTAATATCTAGAATACTTAGAATGTCTTAGGTCTAGAATAATCAGGATTCATTTATTTTTGATGTGTCGGGTTTACTTAAATATCTAATAATTGTAATTGTACTTATAAATAACGAAACGAATACAGTTTAGGGAAAACGGATAGATGATAAAAAGACACAATTGTGTACTTATGTAATACTTTTATTGTACGATATCGTCTTATAATTTTAACATTAACAAAGCCAGGTCTTGTTTTATGAGTGACTAGACGTACACACATGTCAATAACATATCAAAGACAAAATTCTGGTTATTTCGAGATTCCTGGCTCCACAAACATGTTAGCCGATGACAGCCGTGTCTGATGACCGAGCAACAATAGCATTTGTCTGCCCGTGCCCACGTCTTTACTCAATTAATGACGCAAATATCACTTTTAGAGAGTAATAATATCACATAACCTTAATATTCAGGATCAGGATATTAATATCACATAAAGTACTCAATTTACTCATTAAATTTATTTTTTATTCTTTATTCAGAAGTTGAAAGTTCATATTTGCTAAATATGTTTTTAGATCACGGTTTGGAGTTTACCACTTCGGTTTATAGGGGTTACAACTTCACTAATACGCTTATAACTAGCTAAGGAATTACCTAATGGAGAGGCATTTTAAAAATCTACGATATATGGAGTCAAGTAACAAGTAACAGTCGCTATTTAGTAATGGTCTGTGGTATATTTTGTTAACGGAATATTTTTTATATAGTGTAAATGTAACTTACACTTGCCCTTCGAATATAGAATAAACTCACCGTCTACCTGATGAAAAGAGATAACTGTCCCTTGTATTGTACAAATACACACTTCGTATAATCATCATCAAGACACCAAATGCGTACATCTAACCTAATTTCAGTAGGAATAGAATAGAAAATCATTTATTCAAATAAACTTACTTTGAAGCAGTTCTGAATAGTCATCACAGCTTTCTCATCACAAGATGAACGAGCAATAAACTTGCGTGTTGCTCTTTTAAATCATTTTATTGTTACTTTACATTTTAATTTGAAGTGTATGAATACAAACTACCAATTAGTACTAATTGGGCTAAATACTCAAATAGAAAAAATATTAAATATACAACCAACTGGTTAAGCAACCAAATAAGAGTAAATCAGTCGTCGTCATTAGAGCATACCAGTCCCTACAAGCAGCACTCGTTCACGAGTATGACGGATGAGCCGCCTATCACTGCGCACGACCACATTTTAGGGAGCCCATTGATTAGAGGTATCGTGCCATATACTTTAATTACACTGGCAATTCATATTTCAGCCGGCTGTTTGACGGGAGAAAGAGAGCGAGTTGATTGTTAAGAGATACCCATGCAGACGACTTTGTAAAAAGTCTACTTTTCTTTTGTTTTTATTTTTAGAAAATGATATTACTTAATTGTGTTTAACATTGATATGGGAATGTAGAATATCGCTGTATACATGATTCATTACAGGATTTGCTCAAAATATATAAACTATAAGTAGGTGTGACATCGCATATACGATATTACGTTTTTTAAATAATATTTAAATTTTGTGCGTCATAGATGTTTAATTAATTCTAATTGGGGCGCATGGAAGGAGCCGGTACTACTGGTGATAGAGATCTATATGACTCAATTAACTACCACCTTGATATGCGTCGTCGTAGACTCTACAATCTTACAGGTGTATTCACGAACCTAGAGAAACGGGAAGTGTGTGTGGAAGATGATAGGGTGAGAATGACATCAGGTCAGTCAGGCCAGTGTAAAGAATTTCCCGGTATTAACTATGATGATTATAAGAGGAAAGCGCGTAGAGTTTCGACCCGATAGGGTATAGCTAAGGACTAGTAGGAGGAGTTCATTAAAAATCCCCTCCCCTTGGATAATAGTCCCAAGTTTTTATTGGAAATAGTATTAATCTAAATTCGCCAGATAGCAGTTGTCCTTCAGCTGCTTCATGAGTCCTTCCGCAGGTTTACAGTGCATAAAGGGTTTATTCTGCACTTGCTCTATTTTCTCAATCGCTATTTTTGTCCGGTAATACTGTAAAAAAAAAAACAGTTGTTATTGGAAGCAACACAGCGCAACGCACAATTAAACCTGTCAAATTAACGTCACTATTTCCTATTGAGCGTGTTTCTGTTTGTTTACACACAACGGTTCACATGTACTCGTATCGTACATCATTCTATTATGTAGTTAATAATAAGCTGTTTTTCGTTTGTCTTTTACATAATATTTTGTAACTGCATGTTTTTTCTTGGACATATATATTATGCATATTCATTTTCTTAATATGTCATATTTTACTTGTCTACTTAATTTAAAAATAATAGTAAATATACTGCTTTTTGACCATCAGTCTGATATTAATACTAACTCGAGAAAGGCTTAATTAAGACTTAATTTAAAAAGCATAGAAACCTATGTGAAGTAATTAACACATATGTACCCAGTCTAAAATTTAAACGTACAAAATATTGTACATATTAATTTTAAAAGAAAAACATAGTCGTAGATACATTGCTTTATAGATAAATAGTTTTGTTATGTAAAAATAAAAATTCGCATAAGATTACGTCTACAGACTTTATGTGCCTCCTACACAGTAGATATTTTAACAAATGTCATCAGATTTGACAATGATAGACATGTTAATAGAGTACTAAAATTGTAACAATATGTCTCAAAGTATAATGGTATCACAACTAATTGGACAACAAGAGAAAACAAAAAGAAAAGCTCTGAATAGTACAACTGATTATGCTTCAATATGTATTGTGTACATGTTAATTCACGCGCGATATAAGCGAAGCCGAACGCCTGCGATCAAACATAACCATTCAGCCGCTCGAAACAGACGGTTTCAACAAACATTATAGACTAACTTAGTCTCTGTTTGTTTATTACTTAATATCAAATACCAAATAAAATGTCGAAAATCGTGCTACTACTTGTATTGGTCGCCGTAGCAGTCCAAGGTAAGCGAGCATCATTCAAAAATGTCAGTAATCCTGCGCGAATTTGAATGGCTATTAATATTTTTTAAATCATGTCTTTTATTTTATTATATATATTTTCTTGGTATTTGAGTGTGACATTTAAAATGTTTACTTATTATATTGATTTCATAGGAGGTTTCTTTAATTATTAATTTACTTATTCTTAGTGTACTATTCATTTTAATGACAAATTTATTACCAAGTCACTCGTATAATCTTATTGGTATTTATTATAGTAAATTTCAGTGGTATATTTTTTTTATGTCAATATATTATTTCCATTGAATATAATATACGTAGTTTCCTGTTTTTACCTGTATATATTGCAACTTAGGAACTATGACATTTTTTTATAAAGTAAATAGATAAATAATAGATATATGTACATAAGTTGTGCGTATTAATTATTAAAAGGAAATTATGTACCCAACGAAAAAAATAATTTAATTCAGGTACATTTAGTGCCCAAACATATATCGATATTTTTTAAGTACATCAACACATGTATAATAAAAATCAATAACATATTATATTTATAGGTGTCATTGTAGTTTCCGATTCTATTACAATGAGAAGCCGAAAAGCCGGAAATAGCGCCTAATAAAGAAGCTCGCTCGAACATAGTTTTTCGCATAATTTGTACTGTGTCAAGGACGTCAACATTAAATACAACACTTTTGCATTAAGAACGTCATGTTAGCTTCTACAACATAAAAAAGACATTTTTCCAGAAATATCCACTAATTATGCGCAATATTAAATCGTAGTTCAAATTATAATTAGATACCTATTTTAAAATTGCTTATCATTTAAGAAAATATATATACGTTTTTACATTTATTTTTCGAAGTAAGTTCTCAAATCAAGTGCATTTTTTTAGATATTTCAGACGATTATTTTTATAAGTGCTGCTTATTTTGTTATTACTATAAATTTTAATTTTCATTATAAATCGTCACCGATCATAGGTAAAGTAAAAATTTTACTATTTCGGTAAATAAAGCAACGCAAGAGAAATTACTGTTGTTACATTACTGTTAAAAGACATAGAGTCTACCAAATATAGAGTAGTGAACATACGTTTTCCAATTTCATAACACGTTGAATTAAATTAAATCGGTCTCCTATCCGAGGAGGCCATGGAGAAAGCCTACCTCCTACCCACAAAAAGTTAATATGTTACTGTGACACCAGGAATATTGTTCTCAAAATTCAATTAATATTTATATGCAATGATACAAAATTAACAAAAGGATTCACAATCCTTCTGTTCATTTTCTTTCTTTGTATGTAGGTACCTAAATAATCTTTGAAAATAGTTTTGTTTATGTTTGACTGATTTTACTAATTTGCATTATTTATTAGTACATATAGTCAAGGTGCTGTCTCTCTCTATCCAGAGACATTATAATAATACTTTTTATTCCTTTAAATTAACAGGAAACAAAAACCGAACTATTTAAATTTACTAGCTGTAATATTAAAATAGCAAAATAGTGGATGTAGTTACAACAATTCATATGAAAATCTTTACAAAGCTTTATTAATATCCTTGACTCTCTAGTGAGATTTATTACGAGAATATCAGATATTGGGTTCATGCGGCTAAAGTCTGTAAAGTTCGATTTTATTATTGATCCTTGTAAATTAGTCATATTGTGCCAAATATTCTTGCAATACCTTCGTCGTAGAATACTTGTTTGTTGTCCATTGTCCATCCATAAACTATATACGAACAAAATTCGTTTGTATTGTTGAGTTTGTGTCGTCCATCCAACATACTTTGGGTCATTGCTCCACGTACTCGTAGCTGAGCATCGCCCAACAGTCTTTGTTTTATAATCTGTTACTTCGTACGAGTATGCAGTTTATGTGACAGAGGTCATCGATATGTACCTACATATTATACATACAAATCTTCGGGAAGCAATGCTCTAAATGATAATGAAAACCCCATAAAATATCATTGCACGGTTTTAGACGAAAGCGAAGAAGAAACAAATATATAAAAATAGCTATTTTATATTATTTATATACAGAGACAATTGAAAATATAAAATTAAAATCAGTAAAATATTTTAAGAAAATAATAAAAAATAAAAATGTTTAAATATAACTTCCACTGCGTTATCGAACCCCAAACTAAAAAATGCTTCTTATGTGCTATGTATACTACACAATGGATAGACTTCCTTAAATAACTATATATTTTTCCTGTAACATACTAAAACATATGAAAACACCTAAACCAATATAAACATAGACTTACCTACTTATGAACACAAAGGTTTGTATTGTGCGGAAATGAACCCGCGATCATCGGTAAGTAAGGCAGTGTGCTAAATATTTAGAACAATAAGGTTGTAATAACATATACATTTATCTATAACAATAGCCTGAAATATCTTTTATTTCGTTGTGTTTTAAAGAATATTGTGTACAAATAATTGTACACAATATCCTTTAAGAGCTTTCATCTCTATCTATATTTGGAGGTCGCTGTTATAGAAACTTTCTTGTTTATTAGATCTGTACAGCTATACCAGACACTTTAGTTCATCTATTAAATTATTCATCACATAATAGATTGTATCAATTAGCAACATGTTCCAATTAACGTCATAACGAAATGTTAACATCACCAATTATTTAGAAAATGGAAGTTTTGATGTAAATAATATAGTTGTTCAGAACAATTTAGTGACATCTTCTTTCTTATCATTGCAAATATATTATAACCTCTCTGTTATATGTCTCTGTATATCCATCAATCGCACTGTACATCACGTTTTAAGAGGCATTTAAAACATTTACAGAAGCCCAATAATGGTTTTTAAATTGTTTGCCTATTTGTATGTTTGTTTTCACATGAATTACGTAAAATTACGGAACAAATATACCTTATATTTAAACAAAACGAGTAGTTAATCAATTAAGTAATGGCTAAGGTTGTATGAAAAATTATTTTATTATGAAACAGGTTATCTATACTGATATTATGAAGAGGTAAAGTTTATGAGTATTTATATACAGTAATCTCCGGTACTACTGTTCAATTTTTAAAATTCTTTTAGCTTTGTACAGCCCATTTATCGAGGATGGATATTGGTAATATAACATCACAACGCGACCAAGGGGAGCTGCAATGGAAATTGTTGCAATAATAGGGAAAATGTAACGCTGAAGAAATTACGCGCGAGAGCTAGTAATATATTTGTATACAAATGTAAAGGCATACAAGTTACTCTAAACACTTTAGCCCTTCATTATTTGAGAACTCCTTTACGATAATGTTTTTACTATCTTTGACTGTATTATGAAATAACCAAGTTATTTATATTGCATTTTTAAGTCATATATCAATAATGTATAATAAAAAAATTGGAATTCGTATGAAGTACTCTCCCCTTATCTTAATTAATAAATGTTTATATAGGTATATGATTTTGTAACTTACTTACTCACTATACGGAGATTTTAATTAAATTTGGTTCTAATTCCTGTTAGAAAAATATGAAGACAACATGAAATAAATATAAAAAATTGGAAACGTCTGTTCAAATATTCAATAGCTTTTCTCACAGTTTTTTCTTTTCACACAGTTGCAGTGAAATAGTGTTGGTCTTTGCCTCTGAATATTCACGTGAGCAATCGGAACAACATATCGGAAAATGTCAAACTCCATATTCAAAAATATATTAAATTTTAAGAATGAAATAATTTACTATTTAAAATATTCTATTAATATTTTTTTTAACATTTTATCCATATTTTGCCATTATTCTACCAAATATTTAGAAAAAGAAATTAAAATTTAGTTAGAAACAATGAGTGGATTTGTTGTTGTTAACTTTGTCTTCCTTATCAACTGTACCTTATATATATACAAGAATAATAATAGTTATCCTTGATATCTAATATTTTAAATATCAAAGAATTATGACAAAGTTGTCTTTGAATTAATTTACATATCCACGACCATCGTTTTTTTAAGTATGTACCTATTTTTCTTGAAATGTGCAACATTCCACAAACGGTAATTATATACGTTTGTTTATTTTGAATCCGTTTAGCGCCATCGGCTAACAACGCCTATAGATGGTCGAAAAGTAAATATTTTGTTCTTATTGTGTAATCGAAGGACTTTACTACCATTTGCAATTATAACGGATAGATACACGGAACAAGCTGTTTAGTATTTTTTTTATATAATTAGAATGGCAAACAAGCAAATGGTTCACCTGATTGTAAGAGTAACCATCGCGCGTCGCCTTATACATGAACAGTACTACGGATATCATAGTGTCATGTGACACCCGTCTTATCATTCATATGTTGTCATTCTAAAGGACTTCGAGCTCATGCCTCATGTCCTGTAATGTCACTTTGTATTCTGACTCTACAACCGAAATCAATTAACAAAGCAAGCTGTTCAGCAGCTTAAGTATGTAGATGAGATTGAGATACCCACCCAGATGATTTTGTACACTTTTCTACTTCTGGTAAAAGTTAGGATGTATGTGTAAATATATCAAACTTTATTAATGCCAATATTATGTCAAGATTTGTTCGTTTATGGTTAACTTATGTAATAGTCCTGTATTGAACATTTAGGATCACAAATTGTATTTTGGTCTATACCTGAAATATATATTGTCAAGTCAATATATATTTCAGCGTAAAGAATATCTAAAATGAAATTAATAGTAGGATTTATTTTAAAGTCAACAAAATATTTACTAAATAACAGATTCACTTTTTTATAACCTACTCTAACTGTTTATTGTCTGTTGTGGTATAAAAAATGTACATGGCTGTCTCCAGTTTAGATCGGCAGAAACTTTGGAACACCAAATGGTCAGATACAGGGGAGAAAACGGATTGTTAGTAATGTCGACTGATGATCTCATTGCTAGCAATGTACCATGTCAGGTCGACCTCCACGCGGTTCCCCTGGAAACCATCGTGATAAATTCTTGATGAATTTGTCACGATGGGCTAACTAACCTGACCCCATGCTCATCTTGTCATCTTCCACTGGTGCCCCAGCCAAAACCGTTAGCGCAGGCGGGTGCATCATTTCATTATGATCCATAAAAAAATAGTCAGATACAAACAGACTGTTTACTCTTTTCCTCTATTTTTAACAATGTATTCGTTACTTGGCTTATGACTGTATGGAATAGGCACACTTGAGTAATTTCAGACGTCTAATGGACATTATTTTATAATTACAGGTTACCCTGTTGATGACATCGCGAGTGCAGCAGCTAGAGGTGACTGGGATGCTGTACATAAGCTGTATGTATATATTTTTTTACAAACGAAAAACACGGGTTTTGCTTGTTAGTCGTAGCCAAAAGTAGTTATGATACTATACTATACTTTGACCTACCTACTGCTATTTTGTTATGGGCATAAATTCATTATGTCCCACATGTGTATTATGGTAAGCGGCAACCGTCGCATAGATACAGCACCTTGATGTTTTAATTCTGGATGTCATGCTGCAATGTGCTGTAATTTATCCGACATATCTCACCTTACCTTCAACAGAAACAGCTTACAAAATAAGCTGCTTGGCAGTTTATAATTGTCGTAGTACATTGTAGACAAAAGTTCTAAAATGAAAAAACTGTTACCTGGCTAAAAAACTGCTCACACCATATCATGTATGAAAAGTTTTTTATACGAACGAACGAATAATCATGTGTCTATAATATTTCATATACATCATAATAGTCTTAAATTATAGTTAACTCTCCAGATTCAAGATTATTTCCGATAAAACATGCATTGCATTTTTTAACAATATTTCATCAAATAACTGTATTTTTTTTTAATTTTATGTGTTCAAAAAGAATCTTGTAATTTCACCAATTTTCTTTATATCAATTTCAGACTCAGTCTGAGTTTCGACAACAAAAGTATTTGGAAGGTAAGTTTACCATTTATTTATTACACTGACTATTTCTTGTGGATTATAGGTATTATTATATCAACTAATAAAAGTGAATCTAATAATTATTATTGTACTAAACAAATAACTGGTTATACAAATAAAACATGAATAAGTTAACTTAAGTATTACATCTTTATACAGCGCAAAGGCACAGTAGGAAAATAATTGCTTGAACAGGTAGATATACATAGTTGTTATATAAACAGTTTAAAGATCTTGATCGCAATCCAATTAAAAGATAATAATTATATCCTTTAATTTAAAGGTAATAAGGTAATAATCTATAATCTTGCTAATAATTATACAACCATAGCCTATTCCATAGTAAACACTGATTTCCTAGTCTTTACTAATATTATAAAGCTGAAGAATTATTTTAATGATTGAGTCCATTTGTTCAGGAAGCTCATGGGCTATATATCGCTACCACTAAAAAGAGCAGAATATCAATTACAAATTAACAGGAAATCGTTCCCACATGTTAGAACCTAAGTGATTACGGCCAGTGCGATTTCAAACAAACCCCGCGTAAACTTAGACTGTGGAATAAACTACCTGCCGAAAAGCGTTAAACGTTCCTAGCCTTTACTTTACGGGAACCATTTACCATCAGATTCTTCTACTTACAGACATTTATCATCAGAAGACATTTACCATCAATAAATTTATTATTATTATTAAAAAAGTTCCAAAATTGAGGAAAATGTATATAGGCTGAAATCGCACGAGTCAGCCAGTTATATATAAAACATGACAACATGACTATGATATTAACGTTATTTGTATGAATACATTGTTTACGAATTAAGCATATTTTTTATTCTAGAGGAAAATATTAACATCTGATTGGAAGGGAACTTGTTTTTCTAGTAATCTTATTAGCTACATATTACAATTGTGTGATGTATGTTATTATACAAACAACAATCGAAAATATATATGTTTAAAATTATTGAAGTATTTTAATAATATTCAGAGAAGCCATGTGCATGCGTTAATTAGGCAGAAGAAATTAGTTAGACTCTTAACTAATACGTTTGAAATTTCACGGTTATTTTACACATTATTTATTCATGATAATATTGTTTATGTGTATACCAAGACGCCTGTAATAGAGTCGAAATATCAGGAGTTGTAAATAATCAATTTTAACAGTAGCAATATCCCGTTTATATAGTATACGTATGTACTTACAATTACTCATGTCTATTTTTATTTTGTAGATTGCATTTGTAGGTTTTTTTATTATAAAACTTTAAAGTGTATTTAATTGTTTTTAAAAGAGATCTTTTCCAGACTGTAAACTGATTAGCATCGGTAATTTAGCGTGCGAAATGTGTGAAATTTAAGTTGACAAACATATAATTAGAAACAATACGTATTTAAAATATCACAGACAGTATTGAATTGCGGCGGTGTTGCCGTAAATAATGTTGGTAATTCATTATGACGGTAGCATCAACGTGAGATTTCTTCTAATACAAAAACAATTCTTAGTAGTTTTATTAAGTAGTATATACTTATAATTGTTGGTTCCAATGCAATTCATCCGAAAAATAATTTATTGTTTTAGATCGGCAAAATATAGATTTTAGAGATAGGTTTTATATTATAATAGCAACCTGTCCCAGCTTCGGATGCTTTAGAAATCTTATATAACTATACATATAAAAGTAATCCTTCTTCTTGAATCACTCTATCTATTGATGAAAACTGCATTAAAATCGATTGCGTAATTTAAAAGATATAATATTATGTGAAGAAGATACTAATTTCGTTATTATTTATCATAGTTTTAGTTTCGGTATAACACGAACAATTGTTTATGTGTCATTCCAATGTTGTATATGTTTTATTTCCGAAAAGATTAATCAAAATCCGTTTGGTAATTTCCGCGTGATAGTGAACAAATATTCATACATTCAACGCGGGTCAATACTTACGTACGTGCGAGTGACATTGTATTTATTATGCATTTTGTTTTCAGCCTATATCATCCGGTAGCGTTAAAAGCCTGAAACCTTTGGGAGGTGGCCACGTATACGGGGAATCTGAGTACACCTTCCACTCATCGTCCAACGTCGGCGGACAAACCCAGGAACAGAGCGGAGGCCATAAAGTCATCAATAATGATGGCAAAGTCTCAGAATACGACTTCAAGCCTAAGATCTAATTTATCAACGATACAAATAGGAAATTTGAGTTAATAAACACGCAATAATAATGTTAATGTTAAAATAACAATATATTATTATTATAAAAAGAGCACTATTAAAAATTAATATTCAAGAATAAACAAATTGGGTGGTAGTAGAGCCTGTAGTTATTCTTGATCCTAAATTTGGCTGTGTCATGTGCAATAGGGTTTGGAATAAAATATTATAATTCTTTTGAAATATGGATTATAGGAATTATTTAAAATTGTATATAAGAATATATTTACAAACATATATGCTACGTAAATTATTAATTTTATGCCTGAAATTTGATATAAACTATTTTGCATTATTGTAGTACATACTTAGAACGCCGGAGTCTGTATAACTGACTATTCTGTTTGTCTTTATGCAAATCAAGGTATAACTTAGTAAGAAAAACACTCAAGTTTCCTGACTAAATAACATATCACTATCATACATATTAGAGGTATATCATTAGTTGTGGAGCACTCGTAATAAAAAGAGTATAATTGCATCATACCTATAGAAAAAGAAATTAGGTAGAACCGTTGTCATGTACGAAAGTGAAATAAATTTACATTCAATCAGATAAAATTGGTTTCATTAATTTACTTAAATATTACCTTTAAATAATAAGGGGCTAGCAATAAATAATTTAATATTTTTCTTATTTTACCATTATTAGGTCAGGCGTCACGAATATCATTATTATTGGATGACCACCTCCTTTTGGTCTTCCTTCCAATGGTCGCGGTTTCGAAATTCCGCAGATTACAAACATTGATTTCATAAGTATACGTTTGTCTTGGTCTGGGTGTATTTTTATGTTTACTATGTATGTACTTACAAAAAGAAATCTATTGAAGCATATCTATTAGTTGTTTATTATACACATAGTACAACTGCTGCTTAGTTTCGAATAAGATATGAGAATTGTCTGGGTGTATTTATTATAATAACAGTTTTGATCAATTGAACCTATACCAAGGTATTTTTATATAACTAGAATGGGAAACGAGTAGTCCATAGATTCCCCACCTCATGGTGTAGTTCTTTTGGATAAATGTTGCTGTGTAGTCAAAGAATTTATGATATACTTTTAGTCTATTATAACTTCAATTTAAATGTAAATGTAAGTGAATTTGTTGCATGCCTGCTGTAAAGGCGAAACATGTAATTCTACATTGGGATGTAGATCTAAAATCTATATTGTATTTTACAAGACATTTTATCTACCACATTTGACGCAATAAAGAATATTATTATTATTTGTATGCTTTATGTTCACAGCTTTTGCTGGTTTTTTTACCACACTTACGTGCTAAAACCAAGTACGTGTAAGTGTGTTCTTATTGTGAGCCTTTAAATTTACGTGATAGGTGTTTTGTCATTTTCATCTATCTCTAGGGAATTTTCAGACAGTTCTACAGGTATTTTATTTCTAGTTATCTATGTATATTTATCTCCATTTTTATTTATATTATACTTTAAATCATTCGGGTGCCAAGCGCCAAGCGTGGTGAGTTTAAAAGATGCTTGAGAATGATTTAGGATGAAGTAAATAATTTCCGTATTATTATTATCTTCGCTTATTATGTTAACAGAACTATGAATATCACGACGTCATTGTGGTGATGCCATGCCGCACATGCGTTGCCAATCGAGAAAGCTGAGGTGATATCCTAGCCTACCTTGTAATTTCACGCAGTCTACAAAATCATATGTATATTCTATTTATTTAATAAATCTCTTGATATTAATCATTTATATAGAGGTACATAATGTATTTTGCTTTATACTTTCAGTGTTTTATTTTCAAATGCTGAATATAAAGTAAGTCATATTATTAGTAGTTGTATTTTACATATAAATCTTGCGTGAAAAATATGTGCCAGTGAAATTGCATAGTTTAGAAAAAAAGTGCAGACAAACATATATGCATGAACTGCGACTTTGTTTAATGCCATTTAGAGATAACAAAGATCATCTACGTTTATATTAGGTATGAAGAAGTGCAAATTCTGTTTTTTGTGTGTATATGGACAATCTTCGAAACCTGTATCTTGATTTTTATAGGTGCAATATTTGATCATAAAATAAAAATATTTTAGAATTAAAACAATAATATGATGAGAAGGAACTATAGAGAACTAATTTCTACAAACGCCACCCTTACATGCATATGATGGATGAAGCCATCATTGTATTAAACTATGTTTTAATATTCTAATAAGACAAGATGAAAAAATATTATTTATTTATAAACATAGATACTAGAGGACTATCGCCGCTCCTGTAAATGTAGCGGCATCTACAAGGTTTAAATAAAAGTTTGAAAGCTGAATCCATGAAATTTCTTTCAAATCGGTCGGAATAATATATATTCTAATTTATTATTACAGTTCTATAAAAAGATTAATGCCATCTAGTTAAAACTACTATTACGTCTCATATCACTAAATTTCGTCAGAGCCTCCACAAAAATTCTAGCAATAACGCATTTATACATATGCGTTCGCTATTGTAAATAAAGGCGTACAAAAACCGAGGTAAAAACTGTAAAAACTTGTCATCTGCTTGCCTCTTTCTACCTTCTCCATCCTTTATGATGCCATCAAGCATTTAGACAATGAAATTGCAAGCATCGCCCGATACTGGGCCATAACTAAAACTAACTTCAAACAAAAATTAGAACCAAAATCGAATTCCTTGAAAGTTTGCTACAGGCTCGAAGTTGGCTTATTCCGGCACTGATTCCCGGATAAAAAGCATGACATCTTAGTCTTCCAGAATGGCAACACATGTGTGGTATCGCGGATGTCACATGAAAACGTGATGTCTGTTGTGTTGCTGTTCATATATATAGGAGACGGTTAGCATTTACCATAAGGTAGACTTTGCTATTTGTTTAAAGAAAGTATTAATACATAAATAATTCTTACTTCTAAAACTGTTTATACACTGAAAATAACTTATAAATAGAAATAACAACTTGCTTAGTAGGACATACAAATTAAACATATTTGGCACTTAACTTAGGATAATATGTTATAAAGACGAGGTAATATTAGATATTACTAACATGGATGACTTGACATGCCATCATCAATTCATCTCACAGGTATTAGAGAAATTAGTGCTTATGAAAGAAAATTATACATGTATATATAAATAAATTAACTACTTGTGTATTAAACATACTTTTAGTATATCAAGACAATTGTTTTTTTTATAAAGTTTTCTATTTTTTATGTCAAATAAATAGTACCTACTTACGGTAGGTACCATACCAAACCATACCATACCAAAATAAATAAATAGGCAAGTCAATCCGACACGATATTGAAGGTAATCACTTACCATCAGGTGAGCCGCATATCCTTTTGACCTCTGTGTTACAAAAAAAAATCAACCCAGGTACGTAATAGCACATACATATTTCTCAATCTTTACTATTATAAAATTCAAATATTCAACAATGAAAATATAGGCACTAGATTTTTTTACTTAGCTTCATCCATAATAATTTGTATATATAGGTAAGTATATGCATAAAACCACGAACAATGATGTCAGAATAGAACAGAATCCGGTCCTGAGAATATCATATGCAATACAATGGTCTTGCACGAACACATCAATCAAACCTTATTATGCAGACAATTAAAAAAGACGTAGGTACCTTTGCTGGGTAAGTGTTATAAATTGGAATAAAAAACTTGCCGTGACTTATGTTTTAGATTAAAGTACCAAGTCCATCTTATTTATCAGGTTATTTTTATACAATAAATATTCAAAAATTACATATATGAAGTTGGTTTATGTGATAACGCCGCCTTTTGTTCAGCGCATTTATTAAACAAACTTTACAAAAAAAGAACATTCTCTTGTACATATTTTTCTGTGCACAATAAAGAGTTAAATTATTATTATTATTAACTAAGTTTTTAATTTATTTCTCCTTGTAACTTATTGTTACAAGGAGAAATAAAATCCAATTCTTATTAGTTTTTCTTTTGTTTAAATATCAAATCAATATTATAATGTGCAAGTCGTTTGTAGAATCAAACATCCAGTATCGGTATTTATACTTAGATCTAACAAGAGTCACTTTGCCTAGACTTACTTGTAACTTAGTCTGCTTTTTATATATGAGGTAACCTCCTGATACTATCAGACAGTTTGTATCACACTAAATTTCCATTAGGTTCCTTTTGTTTAGGGTAAAAAACATATAAAACAAACGGACACATTTTGGCATTTATAGTATTCAGTGTAAATTGTGTATGTAAATAGTTGGAGGTAAGTGAAAGCTTTTCTGTTGATCAAAGGATTTAAAATAATGAGATATTATTAACGACTAACTACTATTAACAGTTACCCGCTCGGCTTCGCATGGGTATTATACATCTAAACCTCCCGAATTACTTAGTTTTTAGCAATAAATGGAGTACCATTTATTCTATTTAAATCAAATTTTATTCTATTTAAAGATGTGATCCGGTAAAGAGATAAATGTATTTATTGATATTACACAATTCACTTTCTAGACAATTTATATAAATTAATTTATATGTGATATAAATATACAAGCTAAATTCACAGAGACTTGTACTTTGTGAAACATTTTAGATGGCATATTTAGATTTTTCATGTGCGCATTCCTAAAGCCTCTTTCTTTAGAAAAAAAACACTAAGAATATTCTAGTATAATACACGTAATTCTGTATAGCCATGATAAAATCCAAGAACAGCGGTTTATTATTTTTAATGTACGCTTCTACCGGTATGTAACATTTTAATTATTTTGATAAGTCACGTATTTAAGAATGAGTGTTCTGACAATGTATGTATGTTTCATAAATTAATCATATTGTATGTAAATTATAGTTATGTATTTATTGTAATGATCAATAAACGTGACTCATTTAGATTTTGTAATATACTTACTTCATTAATTTATTTGATTAAAAAATAATCAAAATAAATATATAATATCTATCACTATCCAACCGAAATATAATGATGGATGTTTGTTACTCTTTTCGTTTCTTTTCGTTACAAAAATTACTGAACGGATTTTGATGAAACTGTACAGTAATATAGCTTATACATAAGAATAACATATAGAGTATAAATAAAAGGCGAGTGTAACCAGCGGGCACAGTTTGTAATAAATAAAACATGGTATGATTCCCTGAAATTCTTATATCGTCATTCAAATTTTAAAATTATATTAATCGTATATAAACGAATATTGGTTCATATTTTTTATTGTAGGAAAAAACTTGTATATTAATAAGGCTAATAGTTTTTCGATTAACAAAATGACAGGTAATTTACCATTTTTGATGAGGTAAATATATGTTGTTTGATGACTAAACAAAACAGAGAAAAAGCTTAATTAATTGCTTACTACATTTAAAGCCAAAAAGTTACACGTTCTGTTCTGTTATTTGATATATTTAGTAAACAACTGGGTATGTCCATTTATGGCAAAATATACAAATAATAATAATAATAATATACCGGATATCAACACAAATGTTATCCCAGTAAAACACCCGGATCGATATGTAGACGTGCTTATGAATACCAATTTTTGATGAATCCGCATACATTGGAATCTAAGTCAATGTGCTATCAGACCATAACCTTTGGATATAAGTTATTATTAAGAGTGGTCGTGAAGTATATACCAAACCAAAACCTACATAGAATATTCATGAAACTTAAATATTTCCACCAGCATAAAAAGCAGAAATCTGAAAATAAATTTTGTACTTATCATATTAGATTTTTATAATAATAATTATAATGATATACCTGGAAAATTCACACAGCGCTATGTAATCCCAAGCTAAGCAGACTTTGTTTTATGGGTACTAGACAATTGATACAAGTAGTTGTTTTTTTTTAATACATACATAACATACATAGATAATATCATTATTTGTACTTTGCGAGGAATCGAACCCGCGACCTTCGGAAGTAAGGCTACAGTAATATTTATAACGCATAATGCTGTGCCGAGCTTTAGTAAGCATATTCATACCACAATGTTTACATTTTTATAAAAAGGCATGCAAGCAAGCATTAGCAACATATAATTTGTAAATGTAATGATAAAATTGTAATATTAAAAAAAAGGAGAGCAACAATGCACGTGTAATTTGTATGCTGTCATATATTTATTTAATTTATAATCATCTTAATATGAATATAGACCTCTCTTTCCCACCATGTAGGTTTTACACGGTTCTACATTACAGACATCAAAAGCAGAAATACTGCATTTTACTATTTAGTAAAATATACAGTTATTTAATTTACATACCTACTGCCATTAAATAAATATACATGTTTTGATTTATATGATATCTCCGTCAATTTACGAGTATAAATATAACAACACAATTTACAATATTGATAAATAGTGTATGTAGATTGCGTATTATGTGATAAACTTCACCTTCATTCGATATGATATAACACTGACCTATTGTCTACAAATATATTAATACAATGATCGCACTATCTATAGTAAATTATAATATGATAATAATTAAATTAAACAAAGAGGTAATGTAATGTTTTTTGCTTATATAATAAAATAAACTCAAAAATTACTTAACTAAATACTGTTCTTTCTTTCAGTTCTTGCATGAATAGACAGGTATGTGATATATACTATAGGAAAACAATTATTTCTTAATATTAAAATAATTAGATATTCCTACAATAATTGCACTGTCGATAATACTAGCTGCTTCACGCGACTTTGTCTGTTTTCAAACAGACAGACAGGCGGACATTCGCAGTACTAATAAACCCGCTTCAGCCGGTTTATTAGTACTGCGAATACTACTTATAACTTTGTATATTTTATATATGTGGAGACATAGCGTCTTTATCTGGAATAAGATACCTCTTATACAGTGAAAGAATTTGTCAAGTCGGTGCAGTGGAGTTTACTGTCTAACTTTAAAATCTCGTAACAAAATCCATACTTTCTGTTTATAATAATAGTATAAATTAATTAGTTACATTACAGTATAATAATAAGTTAAGTCTATGTTGCAATCAGTGACATTGCACCCGGATCCTGATTCCATTGCACCTGTACCATAACGCATCTTTGTACATAGTGAGGAACGAGAACTAGAAATAACAAAACACTTTATTATATTAGTCTTTGTTGCAAGGCCATAAGGTCTAAGATATGTTTTTTATGTGCAAGAGTAATATAGTCTAATGTGATAAGAAGTGAGAGTACATTAACAGTGTGCGCGTTAGTTGGCCTACACTATACTGCGATCCTTCGACGGATATACACGTGTATTATATTATAATTACAGGTAATAAGGAAACAGGTCCGATCACTATTTGTGGCTTCAAGTGTAAATAAAGTGTCGGCAACATGAGAAGTTTTTTATTTATCAGTGCTGTATGTTTGCAAATGGCATGGAGTTACGGTGAGTAACATTAATATTACTTAGATTATATTTAAGTTAGCTTTAATAATTTATTTACGTGTCATAATGAATATATCCTTCATTTATTTCAATCTGAACATCTATCCTGAATTATAAATTTTATTATAAATGACTATGAGATAAAATCTCTTCTTTTCCATCCAAGGATGAATCCCGTTATATACCTAGATGAACATTTAAAAAATAGAATTTTACGTGTGTATTTCATTAGTCAGTTCTTTTGGCTCAGCATATACATATACATTTTATAATAACATTTCTTAAAGTAACTAAATATATAGGATAAATATAGTAACAACTTATAGATCTAAAGCCAAACTCAACCGATAACGTAGAATATATTATAGTAAACATAATATATAATGACATGTATAATATAGTATATATATCATAAATAAGATAAATCACAAGTATCTACTATAAATTTAGCTGTAATAACTAAATCTCGATAACTTTGTTATTGTACTATGTCAAAAAATGTAAAACTTCTCGAAAGTATAAATTTCGTTTAATAATTTAAATACAAATTAATGGTGTTATAGTTTTCTTATAAAAAATGATGTCCACATATTTAATATATTAGTTGTCAGTAATTTATTTCGTAGGTGTACATGTCCATTGTTTATGCATCAAAATATGGGGTCCTTGACCATCATAGATGACAATAGCACATTATTGTTATTGTACATTGATCGTCGATGCACTGCTGATTATACTGTTATGTCTAGAGTACGTTATGACATTTAAACAACGACATCCAAAAAGAGTAGACAGTAGTATTAACTTGCTTCAATTTGGGCATCTTTTCCAAATATTCAATGTTTAAAAAATTCAAAGGATGGATTAAATAATTAAATAGATTTTTCGAGTGACAATGAGTAAAGGTCGATACCTTTGTCATCATTGTTGGCTAGCCCATGCAGAAGTGCAAATCTAAAAAAATCTCGTTAGGTTGCTATGCAGAACTATGGCAACATTTAAACAAATAGCTGATATGCAGAAACATTTAGGTATTCAGGTAACAATTAAATCTGACTAAGAGACAAGCCTGGTCATATACATAACTGGTAGTTCCACCGAAAATTAACTAATTAAAAATACGAGGAAAAGCTCAGTAGATGCTATTTGCATTAAACTGCAACATTATTTTATAAAATATATATTTTTCCTACATTGTATTATGCTATGAAAGGATTAAAATAAATTTCTTTTTTTCGGTTCCGGTTTTGATCAGTTTTACGTTACTTGTTGGTTATAGAGGATAACATATATGTATACTCGCAAGTATATTGTCTTAAGATTATTTAAACTAGTATATAATAAAATATTTTAAGCAAAGAAGCAGCCACATAGAAAATAACAAAGAGCGAAAATTTAGTTATAAAATAACCATTCTCAACAATTATATTAAAACATTCCCTATAGGCAATAATAATGGAGATAAAGTATAACGAATTTAATTACTTCATTAATAAACAATTATAATAACATTATTATATTATAACATAATTACATAGCAGTGATTTAAACAAATTCACGGTTCATCTTCGTTTAGGGAATTCCTATATAATTCAATTGTTATTCAAATTTCATTAATTAGGTTTATTCAAACCTAAAACATACTTGCGTATAGATATAGAGGTACCTAAATAAATTCATTCATCTTGCCGTCTTCATCTCTTAAATAAAACAAACAGGGAGAATAGAGTGTCATATCTTCTGTACAACTCTTACAAATTCATTCTACATACCAATGATTCTAGAAACTACTGATTCTTCTATCAGATAACACATAATGCTATTACAACTTTAATTACAACGTTAATAATTAATGCATATATTAGAAAACATGTGAGCAAAGGTCTCTCTCTAAATACTAATTGTAAGAAATGTCAGAAACTGACAATCTATCTAATCAAAGTAAATAATATATTAGTTAAAAAAAATCTTTCAATAACAATATCCCACAGCATTTAGAGTTGCATCTCTCATTCAGCAATCCAAACTATGTAAGTGCTTGGCTAATTATAAATTTCTATTATATATTTTTTTGATTGTTAATACACCATACCAAATTCTAAGAGGCTAGAAGGTCAATGTCCTAGTTCACAGTACACAACTAGTTGCATACTGTCATTAGTGCCAATACGTCAATCTTCGCATCATCCAAAAACAATTATTAATATATAGACTCAGGGTTACTAATACCACAACTAATACATAGAAACACTTTTCTTTCACCGACTTTCACGTATCAGATAGATTTATAAATATTTTACCTTTATTGTAAGCAATGGTTTGCTTTTGGTTGATTAGAAACATAAATGCAGCTAACTTGATATATTCTTTTATTCATATTAAATATTTTATATAAATCGAAACGTTAATAAACTTCTGATTATAAATATATTATAATAAATAGATTATATTATAATGATAATTCGTGCGAAATGATGCGTCTTAAAATACCAGTGTTAATTCTAAGAATAAAAGAAAAAAACAATAAAAAGAAATTATTAGATACAATTAAAATAACTAAATTATGTTAAGTTACAAATCACTGCTATAATTATAAACAGCACCAATGAACAATCAATATATTCATAAAAGTTTTTCACATATCATAAATAAAAATTGTATAATTTAAATACTCAGTATTATTTTCAATAAAAAACAGTAAATAGTGAGCAACCCTGACTAAATAAAATAATAATTATAATATTAAAAAATGCTAATAAGTTTCAGTGAGTAAATATTCTATTCACGAACTCATGATTGATTTGAAAACACCTCGATTATGGACGTTCAATTATACAGAAGTGATATGAACCTACAAATAATAATGATGATAAACAAGAAATGTATGCTAATATGTATTTAATTACATACTTTTAAAGCGTCTTTCTGAAATGAATGTATAATTATACCACTTGGAATAGCTGTTAAAATCAATCTACGAAAGTAACATAACAGTTGCACTTACTGTGTAATATGGTAAAGTTTCCATTGACACGTGTATATTATTATATTGATACAGTTTTTCATATATGGTGTTACTTATTTTTATCACAGAATTATTACAGAGCGAAAGTTTAAGGCAGTGATTTTTTGAATCACGATTGATGTTTCGAATAGCGATGTCAATAAACCTTTTGATCCCTTGGACTAATGAGGTTTTTAGTACAGTGGATCTCGTTTTGATATTTACCTCTATGTGTATATTTTATGGGTTTTTATTGCAGAGCAATATTTTGTAATTAATGGTTGGTATTTCAGTTTCAATTTCCTTTTATATATCAATACGGTTATTGTCTCTTAAGACCGATGATCTTTCTGGTATCTAATCAGTTAAAAGGTAAAGGATATTAAGCTAACGATGGATTTTTTACCTCTTCGTATTCTTTCAAACACCGTAAACCAATATAACATACCATATTTTCTCATTTTTTCTCGTATTATATAAATCTTAGAAAAATACGATACGAGAATTAGTCAAGACTAACGACTATATATATAATATATATGTACGTAATCATAGGGATACAATTTTAAACTTAATTCCATGTTTTCATTTCAATGTCAGACGACATAATGTATCGTACATATATGTCTTATCAATCGAGTTAGTGAACAGCCGGTCCATGACAGTCTTTAAGACTGATATTGAAATACAAATGTATCAAAAACAAAACAGAATATTTAAATATACGTATGTCTACATAAATCATTTGAGAAATTGGAACAAATTTATTAAATTGCCTTAGAAGGTAAAAAATACTGTACTATGTTATGTAATATGATTTATTATCAATTGAACTTGATGAATCATGACATTGAAATGTATGTTTAAAAAGTACAGTCGTATCGAATATTTTTATGGTACATTATTCTATAACGACAGTAGTTTTAAAAATTGGTTTTATATATTACTGTGTCATAATATTGTTCCCTGTGTAAATATTTTAGTAATCTTATAAAGAGTAATTCTAAAGTTTATAATTAGCATAATTTTATATTTATTATATATTTCTTTATAGAGTTTCAATATATTCAGCTATCCGCTACTCCGTATGGTATCAAATTAAATCGGTTCGTGATTTGCAAAAAAATAAAACAAAAAATATTACGGTCTAATACAGAATCTCCTTTTAGAAGTAACAAAAAATATGAGGTCTCCAATGGAATCTTTCCACATTATAAATAACTAAACTACCCAGTCTCGATAAAGAAACATTTTAAATTGAAAAAATTGAGATCTTAAATTTTTTCATTGTTACCAAATACACACAACACACAGTTATGTTTGTATAAATATATAGTTCGACATAAGATTAATAAGTTTATGTAACGGAGCAATATCAAAATGTCGTAAGATTCTTAAGGATCTTTTCAACTACACAACGGATATTAATTCTGTTTTTAGCAATAGGTAGAGTGATTTAAGTGGTAGGTTTATATGTATAATACATGTAGACTAGTGTGAACCTGGACAGGTGCCTAGTATTTAATAATAAAATAAAAATAAGGACTGCCTGTGTGGGAAGTGTTTAACAAATATCGGTTTGTCATAGTTATACAGCACATATCGGTTACAATCACTAGCATATTTCTCAGCTGCTGTTCTATCGAATGGTTTGTGTTCAAATAGGTCTATTATATGAGATGCTCATGATGAGCTATGAATACCATGATCGTTGTATCCGTATTTCAAAAGCAATCGTATTTGTGAGTAGTCAACGACTGTAACTTAACACGTGGTAAATTGTAAACGGTAAACGAGTGTATATATTAGTCATGGTTTAGGTTGTATTAAAATACACCTACAGAATGTCTAAATCAATAAATATATTATATTTATATTTACATATCGTTTAAATTTTGAAACTATTAATTTATAATTTTCGAACCGATTAATATGTAATTATTGAAAATTGTAAATATGTCACCGCTTGAGTCATTGTGACAAGTGATTAATATTA